GATAAATAAGATATGGATTGTTGTTTAATGTGGGATAAAGGTTAGTTTTAATATTGCAGTTCTAAATGTTATTTTAGAATAACACTAGTGCTAAAAAGTGCCTTGCGTTAGTGTGGGATAACAAATCGGTCATATGATATTTTTACTTATCAAATTTGTTGATATTAAAAAGGCAAAGATGCTTACAACTCCTAACACTATGAAAAAGGAAAGAAAATGTTATGCCAATACGAATGAATTACATATTATTAAGAATCTAATGTAATGTTCATAGTCAAATAAATACATAAAAATGCAATTGCTTAAGCAAATCCAGAGAGTCACACATAGACCAGAATATATAGAATACTTGTACAATCTTTTATGTTTAACATTTCAATGAAAAAAATACATATTGCTACATGTTTATGTGTTTGAAAGACAAAACGTTTATGGTTTGCAAAATACAAACTATACGTTCAATGTTTTCGTCAATTTAAATGATAAAATATTGTCAAATTTCATTATGTTTGGCCGTGCAAAGACATTATTCTAAGATAGTCGTAATTCGCACAAATAACACGAAAATGATATTCAATTAAAGATTACTTTCATATTACGTGATAAGCATCTTTTGTCTTCACGCTTGGTATTATTATATTTTCAGTTTCAATATTATATATTGCATGAAGAAGTAGAATACTTATTTCTAAATCAATATGAGCCGCGTCACGACAAAACCAACATAGTGCGTTTGCGACCAGCATGGATCCAGACCAGCCTGCAGGTCTGGATCCATGCTGGTCGCAAACCCATTATGTTGGTTTTATCGTGACGCGGCTCATATGTGCTGTTATATATGTGTTTAATGCATTGGTCTAGATAAACAGTCATGTATTTCCGTATTTATGTTTAAATAATCAGTAAGTCTGTGATCGTGAAAAAATAGTGTTATCACATTTGTATATTAAAAGGGTCCATAAATCTTTGTTTTATCAGTTTATTATACTTACGGAAATCAATATCAAAAATATTAACAGTAAGATACATAGTCACAGTCACGTGATCAAAATGGCGAATTCTCCACAAAATATATATCTTTTTGAATTCATGGATTAATTTGATAATCTTGTAGTTTTATGTGAAATCAGTGTTCAAAAAGTTGCATTTATGTGAGGATAAAACTTTTGCATGTAGCGGAAGAAAATTGTTTTCTGTTTACATAAAGGATTATCTCTAATGATAACGCAAATATTTTTACGTGAAAATGATCTAGTAATGTAATGGAATGTCCGCGGATTTATTTAATATTTTTAATGGAAAAGGTGTGACAATGCCTCGGATAAAAAAAAACGGAAAGCTAGTCACAATTCTATTAAAGACGTGGATGAAAGTAAAACCGGGCGATTTACTCACACGGTAAGTGGTGGTTTACAAGAAATACTCTTCTTTTTACTGTTCTGTTCTGTTGTTTATAAACAGTTTGTAAAATTTTGAAGTTTAGGTAAGAAATTTAAGTTGAAAATATTTAGTTTATTATGAGTAAATACCATTTCTATTGTTTTGGTGGACTCGGAATATTTGTTGTTTTTTTTTGTTTTTTTTTTTTTTGTTGTGGTTTTTTTTTTTTTTTTTTTTTGTAGTTGTTTTTGTTTTTTTTTTCATTTCCTTTCTATGTCAATTGATTTTGCTCTACTCAACATTCAACTTATTTTGTGATCAATAATTTGGTTAAATTCTTTGTATTTCTGTTGATTTCGACCGTGTCTTTAATTTTGTTTTTATTTATTGTTTTATAATGTGCTATTGTTTAATCTCCATATATCGATTGAATTTCCGGACATTTATGATACCATTTAGTTTTTGCCTGTATTTCTATGGCTTATTGATTTCCGTTTCTTTAATCTATTTGTGTATCTTTTATTGTGTTAAAAATCACCCCCAATAATAAAATCTTTTTCGATTTCCTAATTTATTTTCCTTTCTTTTACATTAACAAACTCCAGCATTATCGTCGTTTGGTCCGTATACATTAATCATATTAATTAGTTTTTTGTTTGTTACAATCTTAAATCATATATAAATTAAGTTAGAATCAAATAAAATTGCGTCACCCTCGCTTGAATTATTTTTCCCGCTGAAGAAAGTTTTGAATATTATTGCAAAAGGGTAATATGGGAAACTGTATCAAAAACATCATACCAGTAAAAATTATTAGTTGAGTATAAAATTAAATGTTTTTTTTTTCAGATTATTTAACAACAGCAAACTTTTATTAGGGTTTTTTTAGTTTTAAAAGGCTTATTGCTGTAGGGAACCCCTTGGGTTAAAATTTGTTAAGGATTTTTACGCATTATCCAAAAAAATAAATTTATTACGTTTTTATATTACAAATTTAAAAATAAGGTTTTTATAGCTAAGGTTCGTCAAACTACACTTAAAAAAAACGATCAAGCTTTTTTTAAAATTTTAAACTTTGGGTTTTTCGCCCCAAGGGAAAAAGACAATAAAATTTAAAAAGAAATATATAATACGGGTTTAAATATTGAAAATGGTTAAAAAAGGGGGTAAAAAAAATTTAAAAAAAATTTAAAAATAAAATGGTTTAAAAAAAACGACTGAAATAGCCAAAATCTGTCTTTTTAATTATATTTAAACATACAAAAATTAGACTCTTTTTCAACCTGAAGTTAAAAAAAATTTAATTTTAAAGATTTTTATACAAATGTAAAAAAACAATTTCACATAATTTTATAAACTGTATTTAGTTATTTTGCCTAGCAGCATAAGAGTTATTATTGCCTTCTTCACATCCTGCACTTACTCGGCTCATAGAACGAACTACATTTATCTGTGAATCAGTAGTCTATTCTATAATTGTATTCAGATGCCCGTTCATTGGTTTCTTTTTCCCGGGGTTTCATATTGTGATAACAGGGAACATGTTTTTATGTTTGACTATGATACTAAAGAGAAAGAACACCAAAACACACGGCAATCTGATTAATACTTTGGGGCTACGCCCCCTAGTACAAATCAGATAGCCTCGTGTTTCGATGCTCTTTCTATTTCTTGTATTTTTGTGCCCCCACTAAAAGCGAGGGTGGCATTTACATTTACCCTTTCCCGTCCGTCCGTTCTTCCGTCCGTCCGTTCTTATGTTGTGTCGCCCGTAGCTCAAAAAGTATTTGACCTAGAGTCATGAAACTTTACAATATTAGTCAGCAAGTGTAGTTGTGCACCTGGGGTTTTGCGTGTGGATTTATTCAGTATTTGTAGAGTTATTGCCCTTGACTTAATAGGCATTTGCAATTTTCAACTTGTGTCGCCCGTAGCTCAAAAAGTATTTGACCTAGGGTCATGAAACTATACAGGAATGTTGCTCAGCATATGCAGATGTGCACCTGGTATTTTGCTTGTGGATAAATTCTATTTTGTCAGAGTTATTGTCCTTGACTTAATTAAACTTTGCTATTTTCAAAATGTGCCACGCATAGCCCAAAAAAGTATTTGACCTAGAGTCAATAAACATGAAATGTTAGTCAGCATGTGTAGATGTGCACCGTGGTATAATCAGTATTTCTAGAGTAATTATCCTTGAAATAGTAATTTTTTTCAATTTTCAATTTGTGTTGTGTGTGCCTCAGAAAGTATTTGACCTCGAGTCATGAAAGTTTACAGAAATGTTGGTCGGCATGTGTGTTGTGCACCTGCGTGTTTGCTTATGGATTTATTCAGTATTTTCAGAGTTATTGCCCTTGACTCAGTAAAAGACGTTCCAAAATGTTGTGTTATTCCCTGCGGTCTAGAGACCGCAGGGTATTGGTACGCGTTTAACTTTTGAGGCATGGAGGAGCACGTGACCTGTTTTCGGTACATGGAGGAGCATGTGATCTGTAAACCGTACATGATTTTCGAAAACCTGGCTAAATACCGTTTGCCGGTACGTTACGGATTAACCTCTAGGGAATTAGTCAGAATTACACCTAATTAAGAACAAAAAACTATTACGTGATATTCCTAATTTTTTGTAATTATTTTACCGTTTATGGTGGAAAAACTTTAATGATGTGATTGAAAATTATCAATGTTTCTTTAATATGTATCTCAAATTGTACAAACAATAGATTGTTCATACTGAAAATCTACAAAATTACAATATTCGTAGTGGCATCTGCCATAATAAATAGAGATATTTTCTGCGTAAACTTGTGTGTTTACTTTATTTATTTTTTTGCTAGGAATTATTCATAAAATGGTAGGCCTATTTAATCATTTTCTTAAAAAGAAATAATTGATTTATGTTCGACCTTCTCCGGTCATCAACGGTCACCAGTTTCCAAAGACCTTCTTCTATATTGATCGATTATTGTCAACTATATTCCTGATACAAACGTTTATTTATTCCCCACAAACTATGTTGAAAATAATTAAATGAAATATCTTCATATCATTAAAAATGTTCCCCGCAGAAAACCATTTTACTTGTGTGTACTTTGAGTGCTTGAGTTATAACAAACCACTTTACAGGAATGATGATCAACAAATGTTAAGCTTGAGGAGTCAGTGTGGCATACGCGAGCTCTAGACTCTTGATCCAGGTTCAGGCGTCAAACATAAACGGAAATCTTCTCCGGTCCATAACTCTATCATACATCAAAGGATTTTGTATTCAGGTGGATAAGCGTTTAGTATATTGATTCCTTGATGTCCTAGCATTTTTGATAGTCAATGCTTTATTTTGACACTTAATAAAATTGTTACTTATTTGTGATTCTGAAAAAGAAAACAACGGAGTATTTATCGCATGTTATTACCTTATTTAAATACATTTCACTGCTTATATTACTCGTTAAGACATATAATTCTCAAAATGATTCTTTAAGAAAAGACTGGTCTATTTTTTCATAAACTTGCTTGAACAATTACCAGTTTCGTAGGCTCTTAAACGCACATTAGGGTCTATTATAATTACGCACATTAGGGTCTATTATAATTAAATACATTAAGAGTTTGGTTATTTTTGCAACCTAGGTCAACGGTAACAGCCGAAGTTAGTGACATTATGATGACCAAAGCCAGTCGGACATTCGAACTTATTTTAAGAAAATGCGGATTTAAGCTGAAGCGTTTCTATAAAGTCGTACTTGGAGCAGCGGTGATACTTTTGCTTCTTGGGAGTATTCAAATTAATGAAACAGGTAAGGTATTGCATCAAATAGTAAAAAAAAATATATAAAAACATGTTTGATTTTTAGAGGTTGTATTTCTTTGAATGCAAACAAGCATTTAGTCCTGCTTCATTTTGTTACTATTGTGTCCTAAACATGCGTCTTTAACCTTTGATTTTAATGATCATGAGGTATTTTATATTCAATTACATTATTTATGTGTAAATTCATATAAAATGCTGTATCTATGACAATTGTTACACTTGCACATGACGGGGAATCAGCTTACACTACCTCGTAATAAGGAACACGAGAGAATAAGATTGAGGTTTGGTGCATCAATTAACCGTTTTAAACTCCAAAGTTATGTTTTACATATTGACCGTTAAAATACATTACCCCACCTTGTTCCTTCTTTATATAATTATTGTCTAAATCAATTTGTTTTGTCTTGGCATTCCTAGTTGGTTGCATTAATCTTCCCGTATTTTCTCCGCCCTCCAGCCTTCCCAATTTTCCAACATCAATTTCTTCTACATATTCCTTAACTAAAACTCATTTCAATTATTAATTGCCCTCATCTTTTCTTGTCTGTCCATCCCCCCTTTTCTCCACATTTTTTGTTGTCATAGATATTGAATATTGTTAACCTGCGTTTTGTTAATATATTGCTTTTTCTTGTTCATCTTTTTTATATTGTGCCTTATTTCTCCTATATTACATTATCTTACATTACTAGTTCAGCGTAACGATGTACAGGGTTTGATCCTCAACAGACGCACAATCAGGACACACAATGGTGAATCAAGATATTGGCCGACATATCTGAATACCACAGAGAAGTCACATGTTAGTTTGTACCTAAAATTGAATTTTAAATCCCATTAATTTAAATTCTTCACCAATCTGCTCCATAATCTAGCAATTGTTTTATTCATCGACACCCTAATGGGCTCAAACCATTGGCAATTATTTTCATTAAGACAATTATATTTATTTGCAACATTTTGAAATGCCAACGTATCCTGAAGACTTGGAAAAACAGATTATTACTATAGATATCTTATTCATATCAAACATTAGTGTAAATTGTTTTTTTTATATCAATTAAGCGAAATACAGTCAAATATAGTGTTGAATAGCTTTTAATATAATGTATTTAGCTACAATGAATAGATTTATTCCCATTTAGACTTCCTGATCTAAAAAACGGTATCTTCTAATTAAATCATGGATTTTTTATACTAGTAAACATTTATAATTTTGAAAACCAGGCTAATTCTTCTGTTAATATCGTTAAATTATTTTTTATGTTTTAAAGAATTTAGATTTTTTTTAAACAAAATATTCATGGTCGGCACTTAACAAACTAATGGTCTTTCTTTCTGTAACTGTACATCATGTACAGCTTTTGGTAAAATCTTAAGTAAAATTACCAAACTGGTTAGATACTCGATTAACTGTCTTCCAGACAAATTTATCCAAAAGAGACGTGCCTTGACTTAAAAGTTAAGTTTGTTATGTTCATGAACATGAATGTTTTATAATGGCAGCTTCTAAGATATGTCTAGGAATTTACTATCCTATTTTCTCAGCAACATCTGACTGAAAATCAACGAAACTTCAAAGGTAGTGTTAAACTTAAGTGTTTCCAAAAGGAATTGTGTACATCAGTAACATTTTTATACAGGAATTTACACAAAGTGATGCGCTTTTATTATGTTTCATATTATGCCCAAGGCACGATTTTATTTTTCTTTCAAGACTATTTTTATTGTGCAAAGTGACCCCAAAATGAAATGAAATGTAAGAATATCCAATTCCATGTGTTAAGGCTTTTAACCAAAAAGGAACTTCTTTAAGAAACGAGAACATTTTTTTCTTCTTTAGAAAAAGCAAGGATGAGTTTATCATGTTTAAATGATACTTTTAGAGAATATCAACAGAAAAAAAATAGCGCTGATGTTAAATAATTTGTTCTTACAAAGTAGCCAATTAGGGCAGTAGTTTGACTTCCATACAAAATACTAAATCACTTTCACTTTACTAATTGCCAAAAAGTACATATGTTAGAAATAAAAGATGGTTCAGTTAAATGACCAATGATTATAACTGGACATCAAAAATAAAATATAGATAGTATTTTACTTTTTGAAAAATGAATCTTAAAGTAAATCTGGGATTTGATAAAGATTATTTTCATAATAAACACTGACTTGAATTCATTTAATCTACATATGAGCCGTGCCATGACGAAACCAACGTAATGCGTTAACTTAACTAACGACCAGCATGGATCAAGACCAGCCTACGCATCCTTGCAGTGTGATCAGGCTTCATGCTGTTCGCTATCAGTTTCTCTACTTGTTATAGGGCTTGCAAGCGAACAGCATGGATCCTGATCAGACTGCGCGGATCCATGGTGGTCGCAAACGCATTGTGTTGGTTTTGTCGTGACGCGGCTCATATGAAGCTCCACTTCTGTTATGTGCATATAAGCTGTATACTCGAGTTTGCTGCTTTCTCAAAAAGTAATACCAATTATGATTTCTCATATATTGATAATTCGAACTTCATAGACGGTTTAACTGCTAAAGAAAGTTAAGCGTATTTTGTGCAGGTTCTGCTTCAGTGATTCATCTGTATGATCCTCATTCTATTTGTACTGCAAAATAAACTCTCCTCTTTATAAGTATGGTATGCAGCTTCAGGCCTTTACAAGGAATGATTGAAATGTAGAAGGGTCCCTTCTTAACCTGATAAATTTAATTTCTCTGCCCGAACCATTTCCACGAAGTTTGTTCAAAGTTGAATTCATAAAAATGGCAAAGTAAGTCTCCCTACCTGGAGGAGGGGTGGGTGTTCATTATTCACCGGTTGTCGGTTTATTTATTTATTTACAGTTAATTGCCATTTGGTGCCCTTTGTCTGTTATATAACCTGGGTGACAGATTCGTCCAGGCAGTTTAAGGGATTTTGCTGAAAGTATTGAAAGTAAACATTGAGAGAATTTTCATTGCGCAATACATAATGATAGTATATTTATTTTTGCCTTTTTGTGATATCAGCGTGAGGAAAATATTCAATGAACGCATCAAAGTATAGTTTATATCTGTATTACATTTTTTTTAATATGTAAATATTTTTAAAGTTTCGCAGTCCTGTATCTACATTAAGCGGTATTTTTCAATGAACTCTCCGAAGTCAATTTTAAGTATGTTTTGGGAACATTTTACCTTATATGTCCATACCGTCGTCACGCAAAAGTGCACTGAATGTTATGCGTCAATGAAAAAATCATTGTTTTTTACTGAAAAATATTTCTTTTTAGGTATGTGATGAATAGAATTTTTATTTCCTTTTTTTGTAGGTTCATAACTTAATTTATTAAAATCGTTCACACAAATAATATTATTACCCTTCCAGATTTTTCCGCCTTTTTGATTGGATATTGATCACCCGAAAGAAATTGATATAACCGAGCCAGACGGGTAATATACACATTAAATTTCCCCGTTGGGTACCCAACGTTGTAAACGACATGCGCTGAGGTGATGCGCGTACGGTTCGATTTTACGCGGTGTAAATTCCGATTTACAAGCACTTTTTAACTGTCAAATGATAAATATTTACCAAAGTAGAGTAATGATGCAAATTCCCATCAGTATTGAAAACAAATATGACCTTGTGAAAGCTTGATAATAATTACAAAAAAGTGCTTTCAATAGACTACTCCTTTTCTCTTGTTTACATTCGTTAGGTACGGGAAAATACGTCATGTATTTATGTGACGTCATGTTGTGATGAAGAGGTAACCTAAAGGGAATCTTATTTCGACGTTTCATTTGAAACAGCAATGATTTTTTAAAAAATCGTTTAAACTCGGCAGGGGAAGGGTAATAAAATTATTATTTTGGTTTTGGAGTGATATATGTGGATATATTACCTGCCAAGATAAAATATCACCCTCGCCTAACGGCTCGGGTGATATAAAATCTTAGCAGGTAATATACATGTATCCACATATATCACTTCAAAACCAAAATAACATATAATATAATGTTTGCCAGCGGCTCGCATGGAATAAAATTTTATTCAACTATTTCAATAAATTTAGTATTGAACCTACACTTGCAATTAAATATCCTATATTTATTTTTCGAATACGCTGGTCAGTTTGTTATCTTTGGTTGTCCATAGAGTAAAATCCGGTGACATGTGCATTGGTTTGTCAAAAGACGCTGAATTCTATAGCAGTATATATTTTAACGTCATTTGATATTTCTTTGATTATATATCACATTTCTTAACAGAATATCACACTCATGTAGCACCAACCAAGAAATCTGTTAGCTATTTAAAACAACATTTGGTTGTTGAACAAGCTGTTTCGGAAATGTCTACTACTCCTATCACATTCTTTTGCAGAAATCAGCAAACAGTAATAAAAAGGTGTTTGGTAAAATAACTACATACCCTACAGAGGGATATAAAAGAGCAGAATTACTCCGGGAAAAATGCTCTTCCATTGTTAGAAATCTGCATGCGAGAGTTCGAGTATCTTATAATAAAGCACATAACATTCTTTATTGTCCCCTTTGTAAAATAGCATCAACATTCTGGACTCGTGCTTTTAAAACGTTTGAATATGAAAAAAGAGCATTATCTAAGAAGCATCCTTACGAAATAAAGATTTCAGACGCTCCAAGAAGTGATTTGTACTTTGACACATCTAGCGAATACATCAAAAGATCACACGGCAGTAGAAGTAAAATAAACGCTAAAGGTTCGTTTAAATTCTTATTTGTTAGAAATCCATTCAGTATATTGTTTTCAGCATTTGTTGACAAAATTGTTGGACCCAATCCAATATTTTGGAATGCATTTAAAACGAAACCTGAATATAACGATGAAATTAACACATTGTGTGGTGCTGACCTCAAGTTTGGACAATTTCTAAAAAATATTGTTCAGACAGTTCAGTTAAACAATACACTAGACTGCCATGTGAAGACATTTGATGCATGTGAACCTTGTGTAATGAACTATACATTTGTTGGGAAAATGGAGACTTTTAAAGAGGATACATTTCATATTTTGTCGAAATGCAACCAAAATGAAACATTGGCCATTTTTGAAAAGCAGTTTAGTTCATTACATGCAGATGATGCAATCGACGATTCAATAACAAGTCCATTTAGTTGGAAGGATAAAATACGAAAATGTATTCCATGGGCCGAGGCTTTACAAAGAATATGGAGAAAACTACAGATAAGAGGGGCGATTGGTATGCAAGCATTTCCTCTAAGTGACAGAGAAGCTAAGAGAATTAATGAAACACAGTTTATCGAACTTGTTAAGAAGACAAGGCTTAGAACGACGTCTAAAGAAAGGCAATGGCAAAAAGAATACGCTTTCATGGAAGCATATCAAAGTGTTCCCTCTAATGTTATCAATGACATCAGAAAAATATATTCTCGAGATTTTAAGTTATTTGATTACGATGATATACCAAATAACTTGTTTAAGACTGATGCGTCGATTTTAGATTTCAAGTTTTTAGATTATTCTAATGTAAAGGAAAACCATTATCCTAATATAAAGAAATCCCTTCTTTAGTTTTCATTGATATGAATAGCTGTTATAATATGACCATTTTATGTAACAGATTTTTTTTCAAATATTTTTTTCTTTGATATGGGAACAAATAAAATACTGATATGTAGTCTTGGGGAATGAATAAAGCATTTTCTTTTCAAAACAAATATTCAAACTTTGTAAAGAGAGAGTTTTTATTATGTTTAGTTTTTATGTTATCTTCTTTGTAATCGGGTTTTATCAGGTCTCCCGCCTCTACACTCTTTGGGCGATGGTCAAACATCTGACGACACCAATTACAACGTCATAAGTCAACCCTATCAACACCACGTCACGTGGTAGTGCATAATTATAATGGCATACATAGAATACATAGATTACCTGTACCATGTAACATGGCCTTTCTATTTATAGGGACAAGGTTTATTGTAATATGATGTTCATATTTTAACGGACAATTGGCGTGACTAACACAGTACTTAAGGACTATTTTTGCATATTTTGACCTCTTTATTGGTATTTGTATGGGTTGTAAGTGCCTATGATTTTCCTTAGCTGCACAGCTAAATCAATCTAATATAATCAAAATAATGGCGGATACATCTACATGTGATATTTTTTTTTTTGTTTAATCATACTTTATTGCTATATACATGTATATACAATACAGATACAAAATTCATATGTATTTTAAACAGCAAAAGCAAACGGGTTGAGCCCAAGTTCTTACAACATTAGCGGTTGGCCCTCCCCGGTACATGTGATAGTTCATGTTTGTATGTGTATGTAATATGTTCCTTTGTAGATATTTATTATTTCTACTGCAGTTTCGTTTCTTTAAAATCCAAATTATTCTTAAAATAATTATATTTTTATTACAAACATAGTAGCAAGATATTTACAGATTGTTTCGAAAATTATAAAATTATATAGCGTGTACTTATTTTTTCCCGCTAGCATGTACATGATATAGTATGTAACTATTTTACAATGAATCTGTGACACATTCTTAACTCTTTATGTATTTTTAATGCGAATAAATTAAAAGTTAAGTTGAATAAGATGTTTAATTCAAAAGATTGACTATTTGGACTGTGATTGACCCATAATTGATAATTAGAAATGTTAAAGACCGCGTAATATATACGATTACCCCGCCCTTTTTTATCCATTGAGAATACTAGAAACAGATACATTCTGAAGGACATCTATATAATTTCCGTTGTGCCACATGAGTTATTGGATATTCATTAAAAGTAAAATATGAAATTGAAAGCAAATATGACAAATTGTAACTTTTACTTATATTCCCAACATTTACACTTTGATGGACAATAACACTTTTAAGTACCAGTGTTTTTTGCTGTAATTAAACGTACAATATTCGATATGTAAATAATGGATAAATAGTTTTACTTTTAAACGTGTCAGACACGACTAAAACTTTCATCGTATAGTGTTAAGATAGCGGTTTTAGACATGATAGATGCTTAGAGCTCTACTACCCGAAGAACATACCGCTGCATGTGAAATCATTTGTCATAAAAGTAGCAAATTTGTCATAAAAGTAACACATTTGTCACAAAAGTAGTAAAATTATATAAAGTGGTATTTTGTCTTCCATACAAATATAATATATAATTAATCACTGGCACTATATTAATTGCACCAAAATATAGTCCGGGAAATAGGTCACTGAGTACTCTTTAACCAGCGAGTAGGTTGTTTTACAACAGTTTCTTAGTGAAGGATTACTGCACCACCTTTTACGAGGTTCGTCCAATGATTCTATAATATAAAAAGATCGTAATAGTGTTTTCAAATATATATACATATGTAAAGTGATATGTATTATATTGTATTAATTCAATGCTACACTTCAACCTAACATGCATAGTTTCATTCATTTAAGATTTACGTTTGTTCCAGACTCCGAATGTCGGGGATCGTTTTATTTGTCAGATACCAATTTACAAGGTTTTGATAATTGTTTTGATTTTAAAAAATCATAACAACTGTCCAGCGCAATGTTTAGTGCGCTCTGGTCCGTGCCAGAACTAAGCGTTCTCTAGCAATTAATGATACCCATATTTAGAAAATTAAATGTTACTTTATTTTCTTATAGGGCGCTTCCTGCATTTTGATTGGTCAAATATGTCCCTAGAAATAATTATTTTATGCAAATGCAAGATTTGCCGCCAATCAAAGGCGCAATTGAAGTTTAGATTTCGGAATGTAAAGTACGAATCTTGTGCGTTTCAATTTACTTAGTTTCGAACACAGATACAATTGTTCAATACGTTTATTTTTGTTTTATTTTCCCGTGTTCGGAAAAATTATTGTTTAAATCATTTTGTTCTAAAATAACTACATTTATTATTGTAAAGGTAAATGCAATTACAATTTTATGATAAGATCAATAAAACTGTATCATAGTTAAGGTTTTGCTGTAAAAGTTGATAATCTGTAATTCTATCAATTAATAAATTTGTTAAAATTACTTAGAGTAATTGTTAAGTTTGAATTCTTTTGTAATTTTTCTAATTTGTAAGTATGTATGAATCGGCCTCTTCCGATAAAATATGTAACTCGCGCGGTACACAAATGCTCGAATTTTGCAAAGCAACCTCATTACGTATTGCTAACGGTAGAATCGGTAACGATTATAATATTGGCGATTTTACATACTATAATAGAAATACGTGCACTACTATTGACTATCTCGTTCTATCTGCACGAGATTTTCCACTGATTGATTCGTTCACTGTCTTACCTTTTAATCTGTATAGCGATCACGCGCCGATAACGTTCTCACTAAAAGTAAACAGTAATCAAACCGAGCAAAACTGTGATATCAATTTTGAAACAACGGTACACTATAAGTGGAATGCTGCGCATAAATCTGCATTTAGAAATGATGTTATCGCTAAGCTACCGCAATTTAATGAAATTTTGTCTAAAATAAACACTGATAATATTAGTAATGATAATATTGATCAAATGGTTGATTCTTTTTCTGCGCTTATTCAAAGTACTGCTGATCCATATTTTAAACATTATTCGAATTGTAATGTTTATAGCAATTGTAACAAAGAATGGTATGATAATGAATGCAGAGTTTCGCGACAAGAGTATCAACAGGCTCTCAGTTCCTTTAATCTTAATAAAACGCAATCGAACAGGGATTTACTATGTAATGCTAAATGCAAGTATAAATCATTGATAAGAGAAAAGAAAAGGGCATTTAAGTTACGTAAGTCTCAAGAATTAAGTGATTTACGACATAAGAAACCCCGGGACTTCTGGAAACATTTTAAACAAAATAAAAAGGATAATACAAGCAATATTACGCCAGCAGAATTTCATGAGTACTTTTCAAATATGTTTAACGAATTACATGCGACACAGATTGAAGAAATCGAAAACTTTGTAAATAATAATGATTTTAACGTAAATAATCCCACGTTTGAGTCTTTGAATATCCCAATTACCACAGAAGAAGTTCGTGAAGCAATAAGTCGTATGAATCGTAATAAATCCTCATGTCCTGTTGATAATTTACTTAATGAGTATTTTATAGAAACTGCAGACATACTTGCAGGGCATCTAACCGACTGTTTTAATAAGATATTCGATTCAGGTCTTTTTCCTAAAGCCTGGTCATATGGTTATATCGTCCCAATTTATAAAAAGGGGGACAAAAATGCTCCCAATAACTACAGAGGAATAACACTTAATAGCAACTTCGGAAAATTGTTCACTAGTGTTTTAACAAAGCGTGTTGAAAATTGGTCAAGTCAATTTAACATATCTTCGGATGCTCAGTTCGGTTTTCGTCACGGTGCAAGTACAGTCGACGCGATTTTCATTATAAATTCGTTAATCGAATATTTTTTATCACAAAAGTTACGCCTTTATTGTGCTTTTATAGACCTAAAGAAGGCCTTTGATTCTGTGTACAGGAATGCTTTATGGTTTAAGCTCTGTAAGGTTGGTTTGGATGGAAAAATACTTAGAATATTCAAAGCAATGTACGCTACTGTGAAGTCATGTATAAAACATTGTAACACTTTTACAGATTTTTTCGATATTTCGCTAGGTTTGAAACAGGGCATAAATAATTCGCCAATTTTATTTTCTCTGTTTTTAGAGGATATTGAACTTTTTCTACAAGAAAATATTGATTGTGGTATTTCATTATCCGATTTGTGTTTAATTATTTTGCTTTTTGCAGACGATATGGCTATTCTTGCTAAAACTCCTATGGATTTACAAAACAGTTTAAATAAATTATATGAATATTGTATGAAATGGGGTTTAGAGGTGAATACAAATAAAACCAAAATAATGGTTTTTAGGAAAAGAGGGCCTTTAAAAGATAATGAAAATTGGTATTATGATGATATTCTATTAGAAATTGCTGACAATTTCAACTATCTAGGCGTAGTTTTTAATTACAATGGGTCCTTTACACTTAACAATCAATACGTAATTGGTAAAGGTTTAAAGGCAATGTCTGTTTTATTAAAAAGCATCAATAAATATGAGTTAACCCCTAGCATTGCGTTGCAGCTTTTTGACTCTTTTGTCGGTTCAGTGCTCAGCTATTCTAGTGCTGTTTGGGGATTTTCTAAATCAAAGGATATAGAGCGATTACATCTTAAATTCTGTAAATCTATATTAGGAGTGAAACAAAGTACTTGTACTGCAGCTATCTATAGCGAATTAGGTCGTTTTCCATTATTTATTAAACGATATGTGCAAATTATTACATACTGGCTTAAAATAATTAATAGCGATAATATCATTTTGAAAACTGCTATGTACGCTTCGTTTGAATTACATGAAAATAACAATCAATGTTGGGCTTCTAAAGTACATGGAATGTTAAATGAGTACGGGTTTTCTGATGTTTGGAACAACCCATTTCAATACGAAGCCAAATATTTTGTTAAACTTTTTAAACAAAGGATGATTGACTGCTTTTTGCAAAAACTTTCTAGCGATATTTCAAACAGTCCATTGTTAAGTAATATATATGTACATTTGCATAACTCATTTGAAATGGCAAACTACCTGAAAATTCTCCATAACAGAACTTATAGAAATTGCATAGCAAGATTAAGATTATCGTCACACAAACTTCGGATTGAAACAGGTAGATATGGTGCTAATAGATTACCCCGAGAGGAACGCATATGTCAGCTTTGCGATAGTAATGAAATAGAGGATGAATTCCATTTTATATGTGTTTGTAATAGTTACTCTAATATACGTTCTCTTTACATTAAGCAATACTACTACAGAAGACCAAGTATGTTCAAATTGATTGAATTATTAAGTACTGAAAAGAAGTCTGAATTAATAGGTTTAGGTAAATATTGTTATTATGCTACAAAACATCGAATTGAACTACTAAATGCTCTGTAAATCAATGTATAAATTTGTCTCTTTATATTCAAAAGTGATATTGTTATTTCTTGAAATAACTTGATAATATGTCTAGTATGAAACATTGTTAAATGGAATCTTATCACAGCATATGATTAAGTTTAAAATCCATTATTTTTATATCTTAAAGAATGTAAACGCTTTATAATAGATAAGCTCACTTTAGTACTAAATGGTGTTAACGTTCATTCTCAAAAAATAATTATGTAAATTGAAAATTTGTGCTACAACTTTGTTCATGTACCATGATATTGTATTTGATTGTACTATATAAATGTGTGTAATATGACTATGTACTGAATGTATACGTCAATAAATTATCTATCTATCTATCTGTATGAATTGTTTGTATGTTGTTTGTATTTGTGCAATTTTTGAAAGAATTAATGAATAACTCTCAGATAACCGCTATACGCTATATACGCTATACGCTGTATGCTATGGGCTGTATGATGAAACACCGCGAAAATTCTGTAGTAACATGTAGCTCTACAGCCTCATGTAAGCGGAGGGCAGAACTGCAGTCAAAGGAAAAGCAAGCAGCAAAACGAAGAAGCGAGGAGGTTCGTCGGGAGCTTGAACTACAGTCGGCCCGGTACGAACTAGAACTGGCTAAGCTGGAGGAAGAGAAATTAATTTTCAACGAAAGATACGCGTTACGTTACCGTACGCCATAGCAACTGACGTCCTAGTAGAAAATTACGTAATGGACTTACCTAGAAATATTAATACATGTAGTGAGAACGTTTGTAACTTAGTTATATCTTCACAAGTTTATGGTTAACCTTAATATGAACTAATTTAATTTAATGGGTATCTTGATGCTTATTGTAAATTACTCAGCAACTTCGAAATGAATATTGAGGCTAGGGTTAAGTGATAATAGATTAAGATTAAATTATTTATTCAGCCAAATATTGTATTGAAGAATGTGTATTTTACAGGTCTCATGTAGGTTATTTGGTAAATGGCAGTGCCATAAAGAATAATGACGTAAAAGGTCTACTGAACCTGTCACTCCATATGGAGAAATGTCACATAACTCTAACTCAGCTAGGTTTCGTATCCGATGTAAATAATATAGAAAATCTGCGAACAATAGTGAGGAGACTTATGCTTCACATTCGGATCCAGTTGTTCGAACATGCAAGTCGCCTGATAGAGCAGGGGCTCGAACCAAGTTTCAGTAATCTTCTAACCTTTGTAAAGGAACGGTCAATTGTAACAAATACAATGTATGGTTATGATCTTGCGAATGAGTCCAGTAAACAAACGGTGAATTCGCATCGAAATTCTCAACTAAAACCTTCACAGCTTGCGTTGTCCACTGGCTCTGATAAGAGAAACTCAGGTAAACTGTAAGATGACCCAGCAATTAAGGGAATGCGCAGAGTTTCGGTCAATTGATATTGATTCAAAGCCGAGGGTTATCAGAGAGTATGAAATGTGTGAAAACTGTATCAAACATGATGCCGAAACTTGTAGATCTAACAGTTTTGTGAGGTATCATGTTGTACCGGGAAACACAATACAATGTTTCACCGACATTCTGACAAAAGCCAACAATTTAAAAGTGTTAAGGATAAATATGTTGCCGCTTCCGAATTGCGGTGTAAACAGGTAAGTTTGCGCACAGTTCCTGTCGTCGTAGGAACAAAAACTATACAAGTAGAAACTTATGCTCTCCTTGATGAAGGGAGTGATGTAACACTTTGTAGCGATAGCCTTGTAAAAAGGCTTTGGGTTGAAAGTAAACCTTGTAAGTTCACGTTAACTTCAGTGAACAAATCTGGTCAAAATAATAATGGCAAAGAAGTACAACTACAGGTAAGTGTATCAATTGGGGTCAGGTTATTGATCTTAAAAGGTAAAAACCCTGCCTATATCATTGCAGTCGTTACCAGACCGGTCTGTGACAGTTAAGACAGGTAAGTGGAAGCACCTTAATGGTATCAATTTACCGAAAATGGGTGTAAACAAAGTTGAGTTGCTTGTGGGAAGCGACATCCCAGATGTATTCTAGGTAGAGGAGTAGTGAAGGGGGAATAGAGGGGAGGACTTTGCAATCAAGTCGATATAAGGCTGGAGTATTATCGGACCTACATATAATGAATCATCAAATGATAGGGTAGTATCAATTTTCAGTTTGCATCTAGTACACTGTTGCAAATCGATACGTTATAAGCAACCAGCTTCCCAGATGACAAGAGTTGCACAGGGATGTCACAGGAAGATCGTCGTGCACTTTCCGTAAAGAAAGTTACAGCAATAAAAGGAAACGGTCATTACAAATTGGGAATCCGTTGAGAAACCCACACGTAAGCCTTCAAAATAAAGTTAAGATGGCTACGGTATGACTTTCTTATTTGAAGCGAGATAATAAAGCTGTATAAAGTAAAGGGAAATGGGTGTATTGAAAAGGACTATGCTTCCTTATCAGATACCAGAACGGGATTCGAACCCGGCCGTATTTGGTATCTACCTCAAAGAAGCCGGGTAAGAAAAGGATTGTCTTTGCCTGTGCTGCTAAGTATCATGGCACATCACTGAATGACAATCTGACACAAGGTCCTGACCTTACTAACAGTAATTCTGGCGGTCTTGGTGTAGTTGCTGTAAAACTGTACCAGATTTTCATGGAGGAGCTTGACATCGAGGTTACTGAAAAGTACTTTTGACGGACTCTATGGTTGTTTTTGGGTACATAAGAAATAAAACGAAAGGTTCAAAACTTTCGTTGCAAATAGACTAGCAATAGTTCAAGAAGTGACGTCACCACATGACTGGAGGTATGTACCCTCAAAGAGTAACCCTGCTGACATTGCGTCAAGGGGAGTTAATCCGAGTGGCCAGAGCAGGTCAGTAACGCAATCGTAAATGAGGATGACATAGAGCTCAAACCTCAGGCTTGTGTACTAAACACTCATAGTAAGTATAATTCGGGTATGAATACGTTACTTAGTAAGTTCTCCGACTGGCATGCAGCCGGTTGGCTACTGCGTTTAAGTTTTTCTTAATTAAGAAAATCCCCCCAAAGACGAAATTTTTACAGTAAGGTAAGTAGTAAGCCCCTTAGTGTGGGGGAAATTCATATGGCGCAGACAGCCATCTTTGAATAAGTTCAAACGGAGGCGTTAGTTTAGTGCGCTCTGGTCCCTGCCAGAACTAAGCGATCCCTACTAATTAATGATCCACATATTTAGAAAATGCAATTTTACTTTTAATAACTTAGGGCGTATTTTGCATTTTGGTTGGTAACTACTGTCCCTAGAAATAATAATTTTATGCAAATGCAAGAAAATTCCGCCTTTCTAAGTTGCAGTTGAAGTTAAGATTCCGGAATGTAAAGTACGAATTTTGTGCGTTTTAATTTACTAAGTGTCGGGCACAGATACCATTGTATATATGAACTGTTTGTATGTTGTTTGTATTTATGTTATTATTGAAAGTATAAATGTTTAACTTTCAGATAACCGCTTTACGCTATATACGCTATACACTGTATGCTACAGTCTGTATGGAAGATATAATTCTGGAAGAAAAAAAAAACTTTTGGCCCAACCCTTTTGTATATTGTGTAATTTTGTTAATGTAAATGAATCGATGTATATTTATATATGCAATAAAATATTATTAAACTAAATTCTGAAAGAAATGTGAAAATATAGCGCGTGTATTACATCTTCTTGTTTGCAAACACTAATTGAAGTTGCCCACTACGGATCTGTCGTAGTGTCCATGTAAGTTGGTGAACGTTTGAAGTGAACACCCGTATTTAACGTGTTCTATCTCAGGCACTGTTAACAGAGACTAATTTCATTACATTAATATGACCATTGGTGCTCGAATTTTATGTGAAAACGGTGTTCATTTTCTTCTTATATTTCCAAAATTGTACCTTTACATAAATTGGCGCTTTTAATAATATTTACAACCATCTTTGTATCACAATGTACAGCTGTTCGTATTATTAAGTAGTGTAAAATTAATACAATACATTCACAACACTAACTTGGTATTAGAAAAAAACTACCTTTTCTATGTGATAAACATCTCACAAGCTCTAAATCTATTATCTAAATCACATAATACTCACATTTTATCCTTTATTAAGAAAGAAAATGTTTTTTCTGAGGCATAAAATGCCTTTAAACATCGAATGACTACATTCGTAAATATTTTAATGTTTATTTCGAACGCGTTCTGTCGACCTTGTACAAAGAAATTTTGATTAATTTTTAAATTTCTTGTATAAGTATATTAAGAAAAAGATTACCCTTAAGGTTTAGATTTATATATCTATCCATTTAAGTACAAATAATAACATAAAGAAACATTTCTTTGACGCAATTCCCACTTTGCAATGGCCAAGTGTATTTTTTATTTGAGAAATAATATCGGTCTCATGGGTGTTTATCGGCACCAGTTTGGAGATTTTTTGAGGAGCATTATTTATTTGCATCAAAACGAAAAAAAACTGATGTTAAATAGCCGATAAACCCCACTGAGACCGATATTATTCCGATTCTAACAAGACAAAATAAGGGAAATTAAAATCACTAATCTTTTGTTTTTTCAAGCGGAGATTATTTCCTGTGGCGTTCTTGTATGTGAGATGTTATTTTTTGCATCATATGAAAGGAAAACATTTAAGAACGGAAAATGCGAGTATCAATAAAAATGCGTTGTTATTATTATTGCGCCAACCGTTATATCGGAGGGAGAAAATGCCGTTATATCGGAGGGAGAAAATGAAACTGGCACACATTCTTTTAGCCCGTAACCAGTGTGTATCGTCAGTTAACACCCTCTTTTCTTCTTTGTGTGTAGTGACAAAATCACTAGACATGTTAAAATAATTAAAAATAATAATTCGATCAATAGTTTGGTTTTGTCTGGATCCGACTGTCTCCTTTAGAAATTGAGGAGGGAATTGGGTATGGAAGTCATACACAAACAAATTTAAAGTAAAAATACCTTGAAGTATTCTGTAAAAAAACATTTATTTTGGTTATTTGATGCAGAAAACATATTGCAGCAAGAAACACACATATTGTACTTTTCATAGAGTGATGATCATCCATACTTGTAAGTTACATTTGAAAGAAAATCATTCATGAGTAGTAGTATGCTATCATATTAAGATTGAACAGTTATGCAACTTGGCACACCTATACTCTGTAATAAAAAGTTTTATTATATGATTGAGTATAAAAATCTAAATAAACTAAAATAGTGAAACAGATAAGAGAAGCTTTCTTGTATATACCTCTTTGATTTTTGAGAAATACATATTTTAGTTCGCGTAGATTTATTCTGTTTCCCGGAACATTCAAGAACTTTCCCACAACATAGGAATATCGCACACACGAGAAGATAAAACATTACAGTTAAAACTATCTTTAATTGATTAATACAAAGATGTAACTAACAAATATCAAAACATAATAAATGAATATTTTCTAGTAACGGATCTGTTCCTTTATGTTGGTTAAATAATAGCATTTGTATGTTTTTGTTAAAAATTGTCCACATCTTGAAAGTTGTATATATTTCTATAACAATCAATCCATCGTTTGCGGTCCACTTTCAACCGACATTAAATGGAGCACACCACCATGCGCCTGCTTGTTTCTTCTCATCGGAAAGATACTTGACCAATGCTTCAAGTTCTGTATATGATTCAACATAGAAGAGATGCTCGTTGATAGGCGCAGATACATAGGCAGTCAGTTCGTCTTTGCCACGCTCTGTGAAACCACCAATCATAAGTCCGTACACGTCAGCTACCTTACGAAGCTCCTCGACAGCTTGCAATGTTTGCTGGCGATTGTTAGATTGGCCATCGGTGAATATCAACACTTCAGGCTTCACTTCGGATGAATTTCTGTAACCTTAAAAACAAATGCAACATTGCAACCCTCCCATTTTTTGAAGTTTCTTCGTTGACATATTTTATTACGTATAATTTTTAAATTTCCTTATCTTTTAATTAAACCAAAAGTATCATTTCTGCTTAATTTGAAGCAATTAGTTATGAAGTGGGAGAAATCTCAAAGTAGGAATAAATGTATGAAAAAGGTACGCCTTAATCTGAATACAACGAATATATGATGAATCTTATTTAAAAAAAAACAAGCCTTAAAAGAAAAAAAAAAACAATCAGATGTTGATTATGAATACTCACCTTTAGAAGATTGGAACATCCCAAGTGCTTGTATGAAGGCTTCTGCAGTATTTGTTCCACCACCATAATACCTAGCCTTTGTAATCGCTCCTTGAATATCCTCGGTGGTTGCATAGTCATCAAAGTCGAAATTTTGATAAACAGTTGAAGAAAATGTGAGCATAGCAGCTTGATTGTACTGATACTGTCCATTCATCTTATTAAATGGATTTTCTGGGCAAAGCAAACCTATCAATGTGCTTATCTCCTTGTTGGCCTTCTGAAAATTAGTCTGCCCTATACTACCAGAGCTGTCCATGATGAGAAGTAGGTCCCGGACACTTCCTTGAGCGGTCTGTCGTCGCACAAGTGCATGTAGCCATTCACCAGGGTATGGGTTAGACCTTGTTCGTATAAAATACTGTTCAACATTTTTTGCAGTCTCAATAACTGTAGGTGTTTTATCTAAATGAATATAGAATAGTTCTTTGTATCACCACAAGGGAATGGACAAATTATTGATTTGGATAGATGTTAGTTAAATAAACACACTTCACGTTAATAAGTGGAATGTGAAAAGGTGATCTTGTTAAATAACAAATGTAGACAGAAACAACATTTTTTTCTGAAACAAACAATATTTTTTTATTTATTATTGTACATTCACAAAGATCCTGATCAATACAGATTCTTTGATTTTGATGTTGATAAATGTCGTTTGAATTAATATCATTAATATAACTTGTCTCTCTCTCTCGCATCTTACCTATGTATCTGTTTTCGATAAGGTTTGGACACTGGTTCCCTGTTCCCATGGGATTTTGTGTCACATTTCTGGTTCTAAGCTGTTGTCCGAATCCAAAATTTCCTCCCCATTCAGACCATTCTGAAACTTTGCAGTCTGCTTTTATTTCTGTGGAAAATGTGTGCAAAAAGATATTATGCAAAGTTTGTCTTTGAAAAATAAAAACATGATTTATTTAATGAAAGATAAAAGCAATTTAGAAAACAAATCTATGGTAAAACAACACAAAACCACTTTATAGAGCACACCGATTGTCTCGTAAAATATGTTTGAAACAATATAATTATTTGAATAATAACGTTTTTCTAAAAGATTTAAAAGATTAAACACTTTAACCTCTTGTTTCACAAAGTGGTGGGCACAATGAGACACCTCCAGGTGGCAGCCATATTATTTTTCTTGATCTTGATTCCGTATATTGTCCCGAAAGACTCCACTCTGTCCATGTCGTAACATGACAGTCATTTCTAAACATGGATGAATTTACAATCCAAACATTTAACAAAAGGATAACAGCTTTATATCCAAATAAACTCATTTTTAAGTCTCAAAAGTTGTTTTCTAACAGAAAAGCTTTATATTTAATATTTCAAAAACTTGTTCCACGAATATTTAAAGCTGATGATTGATGGCTTCCACAGGTTACAAAGTTGAAGTTACAAACCAATAGAATTTAAATACATGTGTACGTGTTATGCCATTTAAGAATGTTTCATGATTTTATAAACAGGAAAAAAATGTTTGTGTTACATTAGCTCTGACTAAAGGTTGAATAAAATAAAAAATAAAAAGAATCCACAGATTTTATCGTGTACAGGTTTCAAATGAAATATCAACACATCCGTGTTTGTCATAAGTTTTGTCACGTAGTTTTCTTTTAAATGTACATACAAGTTTAACCTTCCTTTTGATAGCATTACAAGTACTTTGTTTCACTCTGAATATAGATTTACAGAATTTCAGGTGTACTCGTTCAATGTCCTTTGATTTTGAAAATACGTTGAGTTCAAAACGGTGCATACATTTCACAGGTACACGATGTGACTACAAGAGACATGGGATGCCAGTTGTAGACACGCTATAACTTACAGCCATGATAATTGTAGCATTGTAAATAAAACAAGATAGAAATAAGATTTTAATCAAGCAGAGTAATTACACTATTAGTGATATGAGTAGTGTATGTCCATCTCGAGTTATTACATTATTAACGGCATCTTTATTTGTCAAAAAGGGGTGTGTGATTCATTAAAAACACTTGCTAGGATTTCACTATCGCGTTCATAAAAGACGAACACGATTGAAGTTTCACATAATCTCACTTTGATGTTAATAATGAAATATATTCAAAAGTTTTGATAATGGCTGTCGAGAGTGTAAGGGCAGGATAATTACCTCGTTTGTCTTTTCTTTTATGTCAATTCTTAGGAAAGGTCAGAATTACTCACCCTTTTCTGAGTTAACATGGCCACACAAAAAATGTGAACTGCTTCGGTATAATTCAATATTCAGTACACATATTTCCCCAGAAAATGTTCACGAAAATGTTCAGAAAGAAAACGATATCAATTTTTTTTTTTAAACGAAACGATTTTCGAAATCTTATAGATGAAGTAATGATGTGTTCGACGAGTTATAACACTTAGCAATACTAGCTGCAGTATCTAATTTGAAAACATGACAAAAATCATGATAAAGTTTGCATATGATTCATAAATATGTAATAGAAAATATAATTTTAAACAGAAACATTCCGATTTTGAAATGGTACAGTGCTAAAATTTGTGGAATCTGCGTAAAATTTGTATTCTTTTGTTCACATAGCTTCAATATATGTCTGCTATAGTTTTACTATCCTCCATAGTACAAAATCTTTTTACAATACAATTCACTTTAAAAGGAAAAAAATGTACAAATATAATTGGTTAGAAAAAAAGTCAATGTTTATTCAAACATACCAATAGCATAAACAAAAGAACTCTTAAAATACGTGCAATGGCCAAAACAATTTGTTTTGTTCAAATATAGACATTTTAAATTCCATGCTACCTGTAAACATGATGTTTGTACCCCCTCGCCTCCATAATAAGGAAGAAAAACAATTTGTTTATTTCCTCACAGTCACGTTTGATATGCCGACTTCCTCGTTATTTTTTTATGTTTATGTTTGGGCATACTTATTGACAAAAAAACATAATGTTTTAAACCCGCATCTAAGCCGTGTCATAATGTTGAAACAGGTATATTATAAAGAAAATAAAAAAATATATATTAAATCATAGAAAAAAAGTAAAGGTAGAAAAGGTCGAGCGAATAAATAAACAAATACAACATTTCTTAAATAATGAAGGACCATACCGGTATATAATATACTTACATGCTAATATGATTGTTTGAATGAATGAATGAATGAATGAATGAATGAATGAATGAATAAATAAATAAATGAATGAATAATGAATGAATGAATGAATGAATGAATGAATGAATGAATGAATGAATGAATGAATGAATGAATAAATAAATAAATAAATAAATAAATGAATGAATGAATGAATGAATGAATGAATGAATGAATGAATGAATGAATGAATGAATGAATGAATGAATGAACAATGGTCAAATTAAGACAAAAAAGACAAAATGTGAAATAGAAAAGCAGACAAGAAGTAAACGTTCATCTGTTTTGGGTGAGTAAGTGCCAAGATGCTGTTATAGGAACCTTACGAGGACATGAAAGAGAACACGATTATTTCAGACGCTTTTACCAGTGTTTCTGATGATCTTACTGATGTCACAGATGAATTTCAATTCGAATGCATATACTGCAAATTGACATATGACTTACAAGACAAATGAATGTAGGTGAATTTTGAATTTTTCGCACATAAGCAATACTTGCGAAAGTACGATACGAAGATGCGAAGACACGATGACGAAAACACAAAAACTCGACAAATTCAAGTCGATAAATACTGTGTTTTATTTAGTTCCGTCCATTGTTTTCTCGTTTGGCGCACACGCATTCTTTTACTTGGGGACCATACGCCGCTTTTCATGGAATGACACTACTGTGTCACTTTGAAGGTTCCATGATAACCGCGGTATGAGCACATCTGCGGATGTTTCTAAATTCAAAATTCACCATTTTAGTGTTTAAATATTGAATTCTGCTTAAGCTGGTGTTAGGGGACGTTGACGGTAACTTGCAATTTCCATTACCGTTTATGAACAGGCTCAATAAAATTTTACAATTTTGCCGTGTTGGGCTTTCTTTAGGGATTCTGTTTTTCACTATTTCATAGGGTCCCATTAGGACCATTGTGACAAACATATTTTGCCTTATTATTAACCATGCGCACTGAATGACAATCTATATAAAGGTAGAAATAAAGATGTCAACGGTAGTTAGAAACAGCTAACGTTTAAGATTAGCAAAACCGAACAATGTACTAACCGTCTACTAACATCATGATCAAGACAGTGTAAGGTCATATAGCGAATTTCCAGCTTTACTGGAGGAGAAAGATCTCAGGTCCCTCCGTGCATTATTTCAGACAAAATGAGTAGAACAAGCAAGCTGGATAGTTTTTCTTATATGAAAGAAAACAGGAACACATACCTACAACGGTGAGAGGTTTGAAATCAGAAACCTTAACCACTCAGCCTCATACGCCCTGCATCAGTTTCATACATCTAGAAAAAAAACAACAGTAAAATAAAACTGATTACAATAAATTGTACATTAAGGCCTGTTATCGACTTATTTTCAAAATTTCTCCTCCGCAAGAGCTCTCTGAATCAGGGAATAACCCCAATGTTGTAGCGTATTGTGAATCAGGGAATAACCCTAATGTTGAAGCGTATTGTGAATCAGGGAATAACCCCAATGCTGTAGCGTATTGTGAATCAGGGAATAACCCCAATGCTGTAGCGTATTGTGAATCAGGGAATAACCCCAATGTTGTAGCATATTGTGAATCAGGGAATAACCCCAATGCTGTAGCGTATTGTGAATCAGGGAATAACCCCAATGCTGTAGCGTACGTATTGTGAATCAGGGAATAACCCCAATGTTGTAGCGTATTATGAATCAGGGAATAACCCCAATGCTGTAGCGTATTGTGAATCAGGGAATAACCCCAATGCTGTAGCGTATTGTGAATCAGGGAATAACCTCAATGTTGTAGCGTATTGTGAATCAGGGAATAACCCCAATGTTGTAGCGTATTGTGAATCAGGGAATAACCCCAATGCTGTAGCGTATTGTGAATCAGGGAATAACCCCAATGCTGTAGCGTATTGTGAATCAGGGAATAACCCCAATGTTGTAGCGTATTGTGAATCAGGGAATAACCCCAATGCTGTAGCGTATTGTGAATTAGGGAATAACCTCAATGTTGTAGCGTATTGATTATTGCTGTTATATTTTTGTAAGCTCATAAATAATTAAATATGCATATTTCTAATAGTCATTTTGAAGTGATTTGATATACAATTCGGTTATGTCTCTCCAATGGCTACAAATTGAAATTTGTAATAGAACAAAACAATGTCGTCTTATGTTGTAAAAACGAAGTATTCTTATTGAGATATTTTCTAAAATCTGTATCATTTTAAACTCTGATATACATGAAGTGGACAAATAAACAAAACATGACATTGGATCTGTGAAGTAATCCAAGATTGGATGTTCGGTTCTTCTCTTTTTTTACTCTTTTTACTTAAATTTTTACGTGACAAAATTAACGTAAAGCAAACAAGGATGTTTTGATAATTTGCTTGCAAAAAGAGGTAACATCAGCAAAACAAAACATGAACCAGACCCTCCTATGGTGGGCGTTCGTTGCAAAAATTCCAGACATGTAAAGTGTTCCTTTTAAAAATTACTTTTGAAAATGCGAACTTGTATGCCTACCATTTTTTATTGTACCCGTGCATAGCGCATAAGATGTCTCTTCATTCAATCTTTTAATTGAAGGTTCCTGCCTTTATATAACAAGTTTACAACTGACTTAACATGGAAAACAAAAACTAATTTACAAGTTCGTATCTTCCAATGCGTGCAATACATATGCAAGTTTGCACACTTATAGATCTGAAATATACTATTGAAATGTAAAACTCTAATACAGAAAATAGAGTTTAAGAAAACGTGTTTCCAGTTGTAGAACTACAAGAGTACGTTTACACAGTACCATGTTTAAAATGTCAAAAGTAGATTAACAAAGTTAAACGATATTTTAGTCAAGCATAACGCCCCGCCCCTCTCAGAGTATTAACGAACCTTTATAAAACGGCGTCTCTCCCCTATTTCTAAATAAAACTGAATAAAAAAATAAACATGCCGCATTTTTCCTAACATATATGTGTTACATTCGTTACAAAAGTTTTGTAACTAGCTACATCACTTGAAAATTTCTGATTTTACCATTTATTTGATATAAAATGATGAATTTAACTTATAAACTAACTTATTATTCCTGAGAAACATCTTTATCTATGTTTTCCTGAGAAACGATTTGGAATTTTTTTAGAGGAAACAATGACCAACTTCCAAGAGAGTAATTTTATTCATAATCTAAAAACCACCCAATATTTGTGTTGGTATCATTGAAAAATGTATTAGCACAAATTTCATTTTCAACAAAAACTATGCAAGTATTTGAAAAAATAGGATTTTAAAGCGGCCACCGAAATTTCCTTTCCAAAATCAAGAAAGTACTTATCCGTAGCACATATGTGTAATCTTTAATAAGGTATTTTCTGTATAAATAAATACTTTTTAATATACTGGTTCAAAGCTTATGGTCTTAACTTTCATTCAATATTCATTTTCTATTTTAAAAATTGATTATTTGATAAAGTATCTAAAGGGAGCGACTTGATTTTCTTGCCGAATATATGAGTGTGGTTTTAAGAGAGAAAAAAATAAACAACGATAAAATTTTTAATACTTCTACGTAATTATTTTTTTTATTTTAAAGGCATCCCTAGAAAGTTCATGAAGGATTCTTTTACTTGAGTCTAAAATTATCAAAATTGATCAAGAAATAAACTAGGACTGTGTCCAAAGGACACGGATTCCCCCAGTGACAACATATTTATGGTATATAGTGAAAAAATTAACAAAGTCCATAATTCTGTTAAATTTGGTCGCAGCAAAAATTCCTTCCTTTACTTCCATCTACACATTAAGTTTGTTCATCCCTTGAAGTTTAGGCAAAATCTGCCATCCGGTTCAAGAGGAGTTGCGTTTTGAAACAAAAATTTTAATACATCTATTTAATTCATTTTTATTTCTGAGGCATTCATAGAAAGCTTATGGAGTAATCTTTCATTTGATACCAAAAAAATGACTTTTTTATAAAAAGTTAGAAGGGACGCCGTGTTTTACTTCATTTTATTGAGAAATAGGAGAGAGGCGTAAGATGTTTCCGTAATAGAAGTTCGTAAATACTCAGAGAGGGGCGGGGCGCCATACATGACTTAAAATCGTTTACCTTTGTGAATCTACTTTTGTCATTTTAAACATGGTACTGTGTAAACGTACTCTTGTAGTTCTACAACTGGAAACACGTTTTCTTAAACTCTATTTTCTGTATTCGAGTTTTACATTTCATTTGTATATTTCAGGTAAAGATAGATATCTGTAACTGTGAAAACATGCTTATAAATCATATGCAATGGAAGATACGAACTTGTAAATTTGTTGTTGTTTTCCATGTTAAGTCAGTTGTTAAGATTTACATGTAAACTTGTTATTTAAAGCGGATGCCTTCAATTAAGAGGTATATTATTTGCTGTGCAAGAATACAATCAAAAATGCTAGACATGAACCTTCGTATTTTCAAAAGTAGCTTTCAAAAGGAACACTTTACATGTCTGGAATTTTGGCAACGAACGCCCTCCATACGTCGTGTACTTTAACTGGTTCAGTTGGAAGCTGGCAAATGTGTCTCAAGCAAAATATTCTTCCTGTATACGGATATGGTAGACTTCAGATGGTATCGTACACGCATTTAGATTCTATTGGTTCGTTAACTTTATAAACTCACATCCTTTGCTATAAGAATTGGAAAACGTATCTATTAACATCATTTTATTAAATAAATACGAGCTCGTAGCATTGTTAATCAGTTATATACCAACATTCGAACTTTCGAAACATTAAAATGCGTATATTCGGATATCAAGCGATTGTCCTTTTTTTAAACGTTTGGTTTGTTAATTCATTTATGTTCAGAGATGATTGTCTTGTCACAACATGGACACAATGGAGTTCATCTGGACAATATACTGAATCTAGAACAAGAAGAATAATGCGGGTGCCATCTGGAGGTTCATCATTGTGTCCACCGCTTTCTGAAACAAGAGGTATAACTTTTTATTTTTAGTATTTTAGATGAATAACAAGTATAATGAAAACGACAATATTTTATACATAAAATTAAAAAAGATATGTTTAACATAAGTTTTAATAGATTCTTTAAGACATCTACATATTGCCCTACTGACTAACCTAATACACTGTAGATTTATTTGTATTTGAAAGTTAGCTGGTTTAATCATTTATAGAATGTATTACACCTCTCGTTTATTTAAAGTTAAGTATTATTTACATTTATTTATCAACAATTTTCAACAGAAACCGATGTAGACTGCCAAGTTTCACAATGGTCAGAATGGGGAGGAAATTTTGGATTCGGACAACAGATAAGAACCAGAAATGTAACACAGAATCCCATGGGAGCAGGGAACCAGTGTCCTGACCTTGTCGAGAACAGATACATAGGTAAGATGCGAAAAATCACAAGTTATATTAAACCATGAATATCATAATGTGCGGAAAAAAAAACAAGAATATTCTTGCAACATAGATTTTAATGCATGTATCTTTGAACTATAGTTCGTTTCAAGGAAAGAATTATTCATTAAGTTTACATCCGATATTTCGTCATGTATGGATGTAAAATATGTGTAATAAATCAAAGATATTTTTTTTAAAAGTCAATTGACAAACTTTACAGCCTTTTAAACAAATTTGGTGCTGGTCTTATTTAAAAGAGCCTGTTTCTGTTATTTTAGACACAAAGCCTACAGTTGTTGAAACTGCTAAAAATGTAGAGCAGTATTTCATTAGAGCGTTTTCAAGTAATTCACGTAAACGACGACAGACGAATCAAGGAAGTGTCCGGGACCTTCTGCTCATCATGGACAGCTCTGGAAGTATAGGGCAGAGTAATTTTCAGAAGGCCAACAAGGAGATAGGCACATTGATAGGTTTGCTTTGCCCAGAAAATCCATTTAATAAGGAGAATGGTCAGTATCAGTACAATCAAGCTGCTATGCTCCGCAAGAAAACTACATATATTTACGCTATTATCTACGTTACGTCTTACCGCGCTATTTGACGTCAACGTCACTTCTGACGTATGTTGTTATTGTTTATATATTACTGTTGAGATTTTGTACACATTAAATCGAGAGTCAATACAGATCGAACCTACACAACGCCTTTGTATTATTACTTCAAATATACGAAACCACTTTCACATTGGTGCCGTTTGTATAGCTATTGACTAATCATGAATCTACAGAAGCTTATTTCAACAAGAGAAGGTCATCGCAGAATTGTGCAGAGAAAATTAGCCGCAATTGATCAAAATGAGGAAATGTCGTCGCTAGAAATTTCTTCACTCATAGATTATCTGACAGAAAAAGCTACGATAATTAAAGGACTGAATGAAAAGATCATTAATCAGTGTGACGATATTGAAACAGAAATCGTGGAAAGTGAAGAATATTCATACGATTTGGATCTGAGGATTCAGAAGTTTAGCGAGACTTATCGGAAACAGACTCAAGACTTTACAAACAATAGTTCCGTTGATCAAGAAGATAACCCTATGGTACCGAGACATACGAGTTCGAGTACATTTACGCAACATAAACTCCCAAAACTCACCATACCTAATTTTGACGGAGATCTTACCAACTGGCAGACTTTCTGGGACTCTTATGAGTCATCTATTCATCTGAATTCTACGTTATCGGACGTTCAGAAATTCAATTACTTGCGATCTCTGGTTCAAGGTATAGCAGCACGGTGTATAGACGGGTTTCCTTTGACGAATGCGAACTATTTAAAGGCAGTGAGTCTACTAAGGGAGCGCTTCGGACAACCACAGAAGATAATTCATAGATACATGCAGTCCTTGCTTGAACTTCCAAGACCTAACAACAATGTAGTAAGTTTACAATGTTTTTATGATAAAATGGAAACTTTTATCAGAGGTTTAGAATCACTTGGGCAGTCACAGGAATCTTACGGTAGCTTATTAATACCAATAATCTTAGAGAAGTTACCAGGCATAATGAAGCAAAATATGGCACGTGAACATCGCAGTGTAAACTGGGAATTACAAGAGTTAAGGTCAGCTATCTGTAAAGAAATTTCTTTCATGGAAGCAGGTATTTCTACTAGTGATATTATCAACCGTGAACCTGATGTTCATATTCCCACAGCGTCATTCTTTACTGGAACTAGACAAAGTACAAATGAACGTAAAAATGAACGTAAGAAAGACGTCTATTCCCGGAAAACTTTCAAGAAAGTTTGTCCTTTTTGTAATGATGAACATTCCCCAAACGAGTGCAGAAAGGTTACATCTTATGAATCGCGTATAGACATTGTAAAAAGAGAACATTTGTGTTTTAACTGTTTACGGAAACATCAAGTATCGGCATGTCGTTCCACAAATAGATGTCGTCACTGTCAGCGCAAACATCATTCAAGTATCTGTGACAAATCTGCCAAGCAATCAAACTCAAAGCTCAATCCCAATGCCGCAAGTTTCACCATACCAGCTACTTCCGGTGTTTCAAATCAACCCGAAGCTGCAATTCTACACTCTACCACTCAGCTAAGACATGACGTTCTTCTGAAGACAGCCGTTGCACAGATATGTTTTAACAGCGTTTCATTGGAAACAAATATTCTTTTTGATGAGGGAGCTCAGCGTTCTTTTATCACTGAAGAATTAGCGGAGAAACTAAAAATTGAGCAGACCGGAAATGAAGTCGTTCATTTAGCATCGTTTGGTGATACTAGCCAAAGAGTACGACACATGAGGAAATGTTGTATACAACTTATTACAGACGACAATGAGAAAATATGCATTGATGTTTTGATTGTTCCAAAGATAGCCGTACCGCTGCGAAATATTAATCAGAATATATTAGCCCTCCCATACTTGCATGGTTTTAAAGCTAGCTCATCCAGTTACAAATGACAGAGATTTTGAGATATCGTTACTGATTGGAGCAGATTCATATTGGAAAATTGTTCAAGATAAGGTAGTCCGAGGGAATGGTCCAACAGCGGTGCAGTCGAGACTTGGATATCTTTTATCCGGTCCACTTCCGGTTTCCAACTTTCCAGCGTCAATACAACACCAACTTCCGGTTTCTACACTTACAGCGTCCACATCCCAACAGCCTCCAGTTCCCGCACAAGAAACGTCCACCCATTTGTTTGAATTCTAACGTCCTCCCCAGATTCCTTTGATATTGAGAGATTTTGGAAGCTTGAGTCTCTTGGTATATCTCAAGAAGAAGAGAACCCTGAGGCTACATACCTAGAAAACTACCAGCGTGATTCAATCACCTACAATAACGGACGTTACACAGCCAAACTGCCTTGGAAAGAAGATCACGCTATCTTACCAACGAATTATGACATCACCAAGAAACGCACTGAAAACGTAATCAGACGTTTACGTCAAGATCCTAGTAGTCTACAAACGTATGGAGAAATAATCAATGATCAAGAAAAGAGAGGTTTTATTGAGAAGGTAGACGAAGGTATCACACCCCAACACAAGATACATTACATTCCCCACCACGGCGTCAAGAAAGACTCAGTCACAACACCGATACGCATCGTATATGATTGTAGTTGTCATCAGTCACGTAACCAACCAAGCTTAAATGACTGTTTGAATTCTACGCCACCAGAGCTAAACGATCTCACTCAAATTCTTATCCGTTTTCGGTTACAAAGATATGCTGTTACTACCGACATAGAGAAGGCTTTTCTACAAATACAGCTTGCAGAAGAAGACAGAGATTTTACAAGATTTCTTTGGTTAAGTGACCCCAAAAATCCCGACAGTACTTTGATCACCTACAGGTTTAAAGCAGTTCTGTTTGGTGCAGCAACATGTTCCCCGTTCATTCTTAATGCAACGATCTTAAAACATCTAGCAAGTAACAGTGATGTATGGGTCAGTAGTATTTTAAGAAGAGATTTGTACGTGGACAACGTTTTGTCAAGCTTTGAAGATGAAAACCAGGCAGTTGCTTACTTCCATGATTCACGAAAGCTTATGTCGTCTGCAAATTTTAACTTACGCTCTTGGAATTCAAATAGCCAGAAACTACGAAATTTAGCCTTAAACTACGACGTACAAGATAGAGATAAAATCACAAAGATACTTGGAATGCGATGGAATACAGAGACAGATATGTTGACTTTCCAACAAACCTATATACCAGTCACAGATACTACAACGAAACGAGAAATCTTGCGACAGACGTCAAAAATGTTCGATCCTCTTGGTCTACTTAGTCCGGTTACGGTACGTGCTAAGATTATATTGCAACAAATTTGGGAAGAAAAGTTCGATTGGGATACTCCACTTCCAGCAAATATACAAAAGAGGTGGAAAAATCTTGCTGCAGATTTGACTACACTATCCACCACTCAATACAGACGTTGCTATTTTCCCGGAGCAGACGAGAAAATTAGACAAGCAGACGACCATTCACATACTACCTTACACGTGTTTGTAGATGCTAGCCAGTCATCATATGGAGCTGCAGCTTACCTTTCCAATGGTCAAAATTCATCACTAATTATGGCAAAGAATCGTGTGGCACCTCTTAAAAAACTTACGTTACCCCGACTAGAATTAATGGCAGCTGTAATAGGTGCTCGACTTTTAAGCCACATAAAGAAGACATTAAAACACACAAATTTCTATCTTTGGTCAGACAGTCAGATTGTTTTACATTGGTTAGAAACAGTTAAAACTTTACCCCGCTTCGTGAGGAACAGAGTCGAAGAAATACAAAAACTGGCCGGGGACCGGAAATGGAAATACTGTCCAACCAACTTTAACCCAGCAGATTTACTTACCCGTGGTATAACAGCGACCCAGTTTGTCAATAACAGCCTTTGGCAATATGGACCATCCTGGATCAACAATCAATTAAAATGGCCTACATGGAATCCAAAAGATGCAACAGTGCTCACAGCTTCCTTATATGACACTTCCGGTCATGAAACCAATACTTCCGGTCCAGACCCTAGCACTATCAGTACTGTTACCACAACTAGCGAGCAAGGCATTCATAGAGTTATTGATATTGACAGATTCGGTTCATACCAGAAACTATTACGTGTTACTGCATATGTGATGAGATTCATACAAAACAGCAAAAGTTCTAAAAAGAGACTCGAACCCCTGTCCCCCGATGAATTACTTCAAGCTGAGAAATTATGGCTAATAGACTGTCAGTCCAGTACTTATCCAGCAGAGATCAGCAACATGAGATCAAGTAAATCCCGCTCACAGCTTGTCAAACAACTTCGACTATTTTTAGATAACGATGGCGGAATCCGTTGCGGAGGTCGAATTCACAATGCCCCATTGGTCGAGAGTTCGAAATTCCCTTACCTGTTACCATCAAAACATAAGTTGACCCGTTTGATTGTACTTCATTACCATCAAAAAATACTACATGCTGGAGTAAATTCTACAATTACCTATATACGACAGAAGTTTTGGATACCTGCTATTCGTCAATGTGTAAAGACAATTCTTCGAAAATGTGTCACTTGTCGGAAAGTCGTTGGCCAAGCATACTCACCCCCAGATCCTCCTCCGTTACCCAGATATCGAGTAGAAGATACAGTGCCATTTACAGTGACAGGTGTAGACTTTACAGGCGCACTTTATGTCAGAACTAAAGACGGAATGGAATCAAAAGCATATATTTGTTTATTTACGTGTGCCTCCACTCGAGCGGTACACTTAGAACTCGTGCCAGATTTGACAGAAGACTCCTTTCTACAAGCATTTAGAAGATTCAGCAGCCGAAAATCTTTACCACATGTCATGATCTCTGATAATGCTTCAACATTTATGGCTGCATCCAACCATATAACACGTTTGTTCGAGTCCCGACATGTACATCACACACTTACCAGTCATGGTACCACATGGAAATTCATTCCTAAGCGTGCACCTTGGTATGGAGGATGGTGGGAAAGGTTGATTGGACTCACAAAGACAGCACTCAAGAAAACCCTAGGCCGTACCTACGTTACATACGACTCTTTGCAGACTGTCATAACCGAGATAGAAGCCGTTATGAATGACCGTCAGTTAACATATGTCTCGTCCGGCAATTGCCCAAAACCAGAACCATTGACCCCAGCCCATCTTTTATATGGTAGACGAATTACTACATTACCGTATCATGACACTGTTGATGAAACGGACCTAAGTTTGAGCCTTGGGAAACAACAGAACATTACACAACGTGCCAAAGTTCAGATTAAAATCATAGAAGACTTCCGTAAGAGATGGAGACATGATTACCTAACTGCTCTTCGTGAACAACATCGTACTTCCGGGAAAAATAAACAATCCATATCAGTTGGTGACGTAGTACAAGTTCACGATGACGTACCACGTGCACAATGGAAATTGGCGGTCGTTGAACAACTCGTGCACGGGAGAGATGGACTCGTTCGGTCGGCGAAAATTAGAACAGACAGTGGTGTTACCAATAGACCGATAGTGAAACTTTTTCCTTTGGAAGTTACAGAACTTTAACTATGAAATAATATTCATGCATAGTGACACTTCAAAAGACTGTATTAATAACGATAATAACCATAATATTTTTGACAAATGAATGCTTAGAGACGATACATACTTATTTAAATTACTCTTTGATATTGCTGATAAGTTATTTCTGAACATACTGCTTAAATATTCTTAAATCTTTGTGTAATAAGTGTTAAACATTTCGCGGCCCCCAGTATGTCCGCAAGAAAACTACATATATTTACGCTATTATCTACGTTACGTCTTACCGCGCTATTTGACGTCAACGTCACTTCTGACGTATGTTGTTATTGTTTATATATTACTGTTGAGATTTTGTACACATTAAATCGAGAGTCAATACAGATCGAACCTACACAACGCCTTTGTATTATTACTTCAAATATACGAAACCACTTCCACAATGCTCACATTTTCCTCGACAGTTGAGCAGAATTTCGACTTTAATGACCATGCAACCACCGAGGATATTCAAGGGGCGATTTCAAAAGCTATGTATAATGGTGGTGGAACAAACACTGCAGAAGCCTTCATGCAAGCCATTGAGATGTTTCAATCTTCTAAAGGTGAGTATTCATAAAAAATATTCAGCTTTTTTTTAATGTTGTGATTTTTGCGATATTTGTGTGAAAAGCTAAATAACATTGTTGCAAACATTTTGTCCTACTTCAAAGACTTTTTATTGCAACATTTTAAATAGTTTATCAATGCAAATGTTTTCAATTATTGACATGCATATAAATCGGCGGGGAAAAAACTCAACAAATGCATTGCAAAATCATTTTTACCGTTGGGATTATTATTGTACTGTATTTATTTCATTAAAGGTGCTAGAAAGTCATCCGAAGTGAAGCCTGAAGTGTTGATACTCACCGATGGCCAATCTAACAATCGCCATGAAACATTGAAAGCTGTCGAGGAGCTTCGTAAGGTAGCTGACGTTTACGGACTTATGACTGGTGGTTTCACAAAGCGTGGCAAAGACGAACTGACTGCCTATGTATCTGCGCCTATCAACGAGCATCTCTTCTATGTTGAATCGTATACAGAACTTGAAGCATTGGTCAGATTACTTTCCGATATGAAGAAAAACGAAGGCGAAAAATGGTGTGCTCCATTTAATGTCGGATGATTATTGGACACAAGCAATAGATATTTCCGATTCTTCTACGTATACACGACTCTTTTGTGACAAAAACGTTATAAGTGTTATGATTTAACCAACATTAACATAACTGTGCAATGAAAATGTCAGTCATTTCATTCATTTGTAATCTTTAAAATTTTACCAAAAATATTTTTGTTTTAACAATTTCCAATTTGAATAAACAAGCGCTTGAATATTCTACTGCTGCATGTGTTTCGATTTTTTTCTTGTTATTTCTCATTTGTGTGTTTTTCGAAATTCTAATGAAATAGGAAGGTTTATTATAAATTCTTATCAACCGTACACTGTAATATAACTTTGGATGATCTATGCTCTTTAAAGGGACTCCACTGAGGTTTTTTGAAATTTTGGGACTGAAAATATTTTTTCCAGATAAATGTACCATTTGATGTAGGTTTAGACAACTAATCTTAGTGCAAAATTTCGGATCATTCGCGCACTTCGTTTTTCTAGTATAATTATTCAAATTGTAAAAAAAATGACCCAAAATGAAAAGCGATTAAACGCTTTTCACTCAAATCGGGCTGAGGAAAGCATAAAAATACGATTTTCAATTTTTTTCAAAGTATATTTCTTAACCATCTTTGCATATATTTTTCTTTAAAGTGCCCCAACTCATTTATGTAAGACTTGCAAATGTTATGCTTTTAGGCTTTTAAACCTCAGTGGAGTCCCTTTAACAAGCAAATTTAAGCTAATTTACATATGTTTGTAAACGCTGTGTCTAACCTTATTTTAAAGTCCCTTTAACAAGCAAATTTAAGCTAATTTACATATGTTTGTAAACGCTGTGTCTAACTTTATTTTAAATAGGTTTTCTTTTCTTTCTTTTTTGAATTTGTTATTCTTAATCATCCAGTTAAAGTTTCTACAGATGAAATTACAAAAAAGAAGTATAATATTGTACTAGAAATAAGTTTGCCTAACGTACTAGTTACAAACTACTTTTGTCTGCTTGTGGACGACAACGATTAAAATAAGAACTTTAGCCTTTTCCAAACTACCTGTGACAGGTGCGAGATTGAACGAAAATTGCTCTGTGAAAAGTAAGATATTTGTGTTTCTTGTTGAAATTTTTAATATGTTTTATGCCTTAAATATTTGTAATAAATGTTTTCTGTTATAGTAATGAAAAATCTTTTTTCATGTTGTTAAATAATGAGAGTGTTTTTGTTTTATCCAAGTAAGTGCATGAGAATCCGGATAGTCGTTAAATCGCCTATAACATTAGCCATAGAATTATGAATCTGAGAGACCTGGAAATAATTTTTTGTATTTATATGACAATGTCTGCCAACACTAGTTAAAGAGTAGCCGCGACATTGACTACAGGCCTTTCTTCAGGAATTTTGCCAGACACAGGTAGGACCCCACCCACGTTCGAAATTTTTTGCTATTTTTATGTTTTCTACATCGGCTGCTTTTTATTCGGCAATTTCCTGGTTTAGACCCCTATGTATTTTTCAGGAGTAAAACTTGTATATATAATACACTAGAGAAAACGGAATGAACCTTATAATGCTCCTCGTCTAATCCAGGATATGAGTCTTTTTTATGACCGCTACATCAAAATCTACAGTATTTCAGAGTCTTTATAAACAAAAAGATACAAGATAAACATTTAAACAATTAATTACACTACAATCATAAAATTAAGTAAACAACACAATGAAAAAGAAAATCATTTTATAAACCAGTCTCACTAAAAATAGTCTGGAAGAAATTTAGTGTCCTGAAGCGTCTCAAGGCATTATGTGTAATTGTAACAGTCAGAAGGGTTATATTTATTGTATATGAGCTACGTTATTATGCATTGAGTTATGTATGGTAGAAAAAAATAATCTTAAAAAACATTTTTCTATTTAAAAATAAAAAAAACTAACATAGATCTACCTTCGACTTCCCGAATATGTCGGTCCGACAGACATGTCCGATAAATTTTGATTAGGTCCAACGATTTCTTATTCCAGATCTGTTCGACTGTCGGGCTTTTATCCAAGTCGCATATTTACAGTGTCTATTCTAGGAATTAAAAATAGGGGTGATTTTCCCCCTCTATTTCAAAAAAGGGGGCGATTTTCAAAATCAAGGGGTGCCAATATAAACTGCCAATGTTAAATCGTCTGCATTAAGTTTACACTGAGGCGTTCAACCGATGAAATATTTAAAACAAAAATATTCATTTAAGGCAGCAGAAGTTGTCCTCCCTTAATTTATGAACGAAAACAAATTATTACAGATTGACTGAAAAAAAGAACACGTGCTTATGTTTGTGATGCTGTTTGTGAGCAGTTGACCTAGCAATGAATGGAAAAGGTGTGGCTAAATGTTCCGCTACGAAAACCGGAAAGGTCCATTAATGCAATTTAAGTAAAATTCACAGGATTGATAGGTACCTCAAATTCTATCATATATTAAATGGATTTTCAGGTTGAATGATTTTTTTTTGGCTGAGTTATGGCCTTGAATATTCAATAAAAAAGCATTTTGGCTTGTTAATGATTTTTTGTGTTTCATGCAATACAGTTGCTGCAACATGCTTTAAAGCAGCTACATGTATGTCATATAGGGAACAAACTTTTCAATCAGTTCTCTTCTCAATACAACTGCTTTATTATAGCTATCATAAGGTGACACATGTGATCACAGATTGCTCTTGTGTCTTCACCTTTTTACTGTCACAAGATCTTGTACTTTTCAGTACTTAAAATCTTTAATTGTAAACAGAATAATTTCAAAGTGACATTTACTATAACTAAGTGACATTCCTTTGAGAGGCAATTGGATATTTTTTTAAAAGATTAGCCCATTAAATGTGTGCACACTGAAATCTTAAGTTTATTAGAAGTGTAAAAATAAATTATACTGGATAACTCCACATAGATAACCCTGACACTTGATAAATATCTGTAGTAACTTTGTTTTTCAAAAATTAAGTGCATGGTCACCGAGTAATATTAAAGCAGTACAGAATATAATGATTTTTAGCTCACCTGTCACAAAGTGACATGGTGAGCTTTTGTGATCACTTTTCATCCGGCGTCTGTCTGTCCGGCGTCTGTAAACTTTTACTTTAAACGACATCTCGTCATAAACAACTAAGCCAATTTCATCCAAACTTCACAGGAATGTTCCTTTGGTGGTCACCTTAAAACTTGTTCAAAGAATATAATTCCATGCAGAACTCTGGTTGCCATGGCAACCAAAAGAAAAAACTTAAAAATCTTCTTTAAAAAAAACCCAAAGAGGTAGAGCTTAGATATTTGGCATGAAACATCTTCTAGTGAGTTTCCCTATATGTATGTAATCAGTACTTTAAAAAATCTTCTTTTGAAAAAAAACAAAAAGAGCTAGAGCTTAAATATTTGGCATGAAACATTGTCTAATGAGTGTCTACCAAGTTTGTTCAAATAAAAGCCCTGGGGTCAAAATTAGCCCTGTCCCAGGGAGTCATTGATTTTCCTTACATGTATATAGTAAAAACTTAAAAATCTTCTTTTAAAGAATATTTGGCATGAAACATCTTCTAGTGAGTGTCTTTCAAGTTTGTTCAAATAAAAGCACTGGGGTCAAAATTAGCCCCAGCCTGGGGGGTCATTGATTTTCCTTATATGTATCTAGTAAAAACTTAAAAAAATCTTCTTTTTAAAAACCCAAAGAGTTAGAGCTTAGATATTAAGCATGAAACATCTTCTGGTGAGTGTCTACGACGTTTGTTAAAAAAAGCCCTGGGATCAAAATTGACCTCGCCACGGGGTACTGATTTTCTTATATGTCTTTAGTAAAAACTTTAAAAAAAATTATTTTAAATAACCCATAGAGCTAGAGCTTAGATATTAAGCATGAAACATCTTCTAGTGAGTGTCTTTCAAATATGTTCAAATAAAAGCTCCAGGGTTAAATTGGCCCCGCCCGGGGATCTGATTTTCCTTATATGTCTTTAGTAACAACTTCATTTAAAAAACCCAGAGAGCTAGAACTTAGATATTTATCATGAAACATCTTCTAATGGGTGTCTACCAAGTTTGTTAAAAAGAAAAGTCCCTGGGTTAAAATTAGCCCCGCCCCAATGGCCTATATACAGATGAGTGAGTTCAGGGCCATCATGGCCCTCTTGTGTTAAACTAAATAAACTGTTTAATAGGTCAAAAAACTCAAATAACATCAACTTTTCATTTAAAATCTGTCCCAAAACATTCTTTTTACTGAAGTTCTCTTATTCAGCAGAGCTTGTGAATATTTTCTTATGATTATGAAGTAGCTATCAAAGGCCAAATAAGAAAATTGAAAAGCAGTTGAAGGCACATTGTGCCACAGAAAGCAATATTTTTTCAATACTTTACAAAATAAGAAAAGTCAAACATGTTTAATAATGTTTTAATAATGAATTAAGAGCATGACTGACAAAAGTAGCACTATACATGCTGTAATGTGTTGTAAGGGAAGCTGAATGTCAGCATTTATTATTTATACACCCATCACTATTATGCAAATAAAGAGAGCAAAAGAATTAAAATATAGTTCATTGATTTTGCTAATGAATAACTTTCTGGAAACTGTAACAAGATACAGAAATTTTAAACAATTTAGAAATGAAAATGATTGCATTTCGGAAAAGTTTTTTCTGCCACATGATCTTTAATATGTTTTTCTGCCACATGATCTTTAATATGTGTTTCTGTCACATGATCTTTAATATGTTTTTCTGTCACATGATCTTTGATATATATTTTGCCACATTATCTTTAATATGTTTTTCTGCCACATGATCTTTAATATGTTTCCCTGCCACATGATCTTTAATATGTTTGTCTGCCATATGGTCTTTAATATGTTTTTCTGCCACATGATCTTTAATATGTTTTTTTTGCCACATGATCTTTAATATGTTTTTCTGCCACATGATCTTCAATATGTTTTTCTGCCACATGATCTTTAATATGTTTTTCTGCCACATGATCTTTAATATGTTTTTCTGCCACATGATCTTTTGGATGTTTTTCTGCCACATGATCTTCAATATGTTTTTCTGCCACATGATCTTTAATATGTTTGTCTGCCACAATTGATCTTTAATATGTTTTTCTGCCACATGATCTTTAATATGTTTCCCTGCCACATGATCTTTAATATGTTTTTCTGCCACATGATCTTTAATATGTTTCCCTGCCACATGATCTTTAATATGTTTTTCTGCCACATGATCTTTAATATGTTTGTTAAGTCCCCTACCAGTTTAACCAGAGGGGACTTTAGGACTCTCCGTCCGTCTGTCTGTCCATCTGTCCGGGCGCACAAATGGACACTTGTTGGGTACCTTGAACACACGAATGGACACTTGTTGGGTAATTCTATTCATTCCGTCAGTATTGTTGGGTACTTTTGTTGTCTAATATTGGGTACTATTAAACAAAAGAAGTACTCAATTAATGCCCATTCGTAGGAACGTCCGTCTGTCAGTCCCTCAGTCCACAAAACTGGATCCCGCGATAACGCAAAAAGAACTGAAAATATTTTTATGAAACTTGATATATGGATAAATGGCAGTATGGAGATTATGCACGTCTTCTTTTTTTCTTCCTATCTTGAAAATTCTGGTTGCTATGGCAACAAAAAGTCTGAAAATATGGCAAATTTAACACATAAACTGGATCCAGTGATAACTCAAAAAGTACTGAAAATATTTTTATGAAACTTAAAATATGGGTAGATGGCAGTCTGGAGATTATGCACATCTTTTTCTTTTCTTCCTATGTTGAAAATTCTGGTTGCTATGGCAACAAATAGCCTGAATTTCAAGATTTCGGATTTAAATTTTTCAGCTTTTTCACTAAGTTCATTATTTCTTAAGGTGTTTACTTCAAACTTTAAATATTAGTTTCTGGTCATCAACCACATCATATGTGACAAGGTTTACAACTCTTACACAAAAATTATCAGTATTACCTCCCTTGAACTTAGAATTTTTATGAAAAAAAATGTTGTCTTTTTTAAATAACTTCTTTATTTTATTTCCTAATGTATCTTCTTCAAACTTCATATATATGTTTCTTATTATCACTCAACATTTTTGAGAAGGTTAAATACTCTAGCAAGACTATTTCCAGAATTATGTCCCCCTTGAACTTAGATTTTTTTCGAGAAATTGGTATTTTTCACTCCAACTTCTTCATTCCTTATAGGATTTACTTTAAAATCCCACATCGTAATAATATGACAAGGTTGTATTAACATAATTTCCTTACTAGGCATGGAAACTTAACACATTACAGTGATATAGACAAACTTAGAACTCAAAAGATTTAAGTTCATTCATGTCATTCATTCACTGGTAAAATTGAATGGCCCATCAGAATGTTGCTGGGGCTCAAACCGATAGGGGACTTATGGATTGCTTGCAATACTATGATAATTGCTTGTTGCCACATGATCTTTAATATGTTTGTCTGCCACATGATATTTAATATGTATTAAATTATATGTAATAGGTATTGGTTATTCATTACACTTCTGAAACTGATATTGGTTAGTCTTGGCAACTATTATAGTACCAGGCCAATCTGTATATCAGTGCAGTCTTACCATGCTTTTAACTGGTTACTGACAAATGATTTTTATGCCCCCACAGAGTGGGAGCATATAGCGTTGCACTTGTCCGTCCGAGTGTCCGTACGTCTGTCCGTCCGTCCATCCGTCTGTCCGTACGTCCCGAAATCTTGTGAACGCAACTCCTCTTAAACCGGATGGCAGATTTTGCTTAAACTTCCAGGGATGAACAACCTTAATGTGTAGATGGTAGTAAAGGAAGGAATATTTGCTGCGACCAAATTTAACAGAATTATGGCCCTTTGTTGAATTTTTCACTATATACTATGTAGAAATTTTGTGAACGCAACTCCTCTTAAACCGGAAGGCAGATTTTGCTTAAACTTCCAGGGATGCACAATCTTAATGTGTAGATGGTAGTAAAGGAAGGTATTTTTGCTGCGACCAAATTTAACAGAATTATGGCCATTTGTTGATTTTTAGTTTTCAACTTGTGGCACATGTAGTCCAAAAAATATTTGACCTAGAGTCATAAGATTGACAGAACAGTGGCCTGTGGGGGCATCCGTGTCCTATGGACACATTTCTAGTTTTCTCAATTTTCGAAACAACCTGTGGCTTTCTGAAGAGGAAAATTTTTTGTGATAAATCAGGAAAGTGGGACATCTGAAATCAAAATTCTAACAACTGTGAATGGAATTCACCCACACATTTTATAAAATTTTCAATTTAAATTAACATTCATGGTACATAGCAGTGGCTATTTTATAATAGGGACAGTTTTCTGTCTTCTAGCTGATATAAGTCAAATGCTGTTAAGTCATGATTAGGTTTAATATTATATTGTCACAAAAATAGTATAAGACCTTTCAATAGAAACTATAATGTCACATGATTGAACTGATATATAGAAATATGATGTGGGAAAGATAATTATAAATCAAAAATGACCAATATTTACAGTAGTATAATACTGTACTAATATACATGTATATCACAAGCTAAAATACAGCAAATATTACTCTTGACTGGTATGAATAGTACTTTGTTGCTGGTCATCTTGTCAAAACTTGTTGATAGTTGTATTTGAAAGGACTGCTTCATACTAAGGACTGCTTCATATTTAAAACAATAAAATAATGTACAATGTACATGAATAGTAATATAATTTCTATGTATAATAATCATTCAAGAACTTGATAATCTGAATATTTATCTTTATTAACAGAACAATATTTAGACATAATTTGAATATTTTTAGATGTCATCCATTCCATCAGTCCCTGAGTTCTATGCTGGGCGTGGCATATTTATCACAGGTGCAACAGGGTTCTTGGGTAAAGCATTAGTGGAGAAGTTGCTGCGAGCTTGTCCGGATTGTACTCTTTACCTGATGATCAGGCCGAAAAAGGGCAAGGAGATCCAAGAACGACTTGAAGAAATTTTTGAATCAAAGGTATAGTTAAATATCATGATAATAATTATTCTGACTCTTAGATATAATATTTAGTTAAATAGTGCTGAATGTTAAAAGCATTGTAAAGATTCTAGAAAGAAAGTCTAATAATAATCGTAAAGAAAATGATACAGATGTATATATTGTCTCATGTTCTCAAAGGTTCTTTTGACATGCCCAAAATATTTTAAAGATGTTTGCTATTAAGATAAAAGATTGTTGTAAGGTGTCATACAGTGGCTAAGCAGCCTGCAAAATAGGGCACATGCCCCATGCTCGAGATGTGTTAAACCCAATTCAAACCTGCATAATTCCGAAGTTTAAAAGCCTGGCAGGTGTTTGAATTCAGAATGTCTGTGTTTTCATACAAAGCTAGTTTCAGTTTGAATTCTTCTGAAATTGTTGTGTAATACATCATCAGTCTATGTACATCTGGTAAGATTTGTGTAATATCTCATGCAAATATTCGTAATCTATATTTATTGTCTTCATTGAGTGGTTAGTGTATACAGTATTTGTAAATATTTGTTGGTTATGTCAATGTCAAGTATAAACGATAAATTTCCATTAGAATACATTTATTTTTAGATTGACCTGTTTACATTTGTGAACAACATACATGAATAAGTTACATTACACATCTAAAGCCAAATTTGGAATTAAATTGTGTGGCTGGGTTTTGTTTAGGGGGCATCGTTCATTGAATGCCAGCCTCCCTTGTTTATATTTGTTTTCACATTTCAAACACTGAAACAGTATTTTTTTTAAAAAGCAGTAGATTGAAGAGTAAGGTTGCATATGAGAGTAATAAAGAACCGAATATCATAAATGTGACTGATTGATTTTCCGTGGTTTTGTTACTTTATTGAACCTTGTTGTAAATAAAACACAAAATAAACTGCTGTCTTTATTTTGCACAAAAAATGTTTTGGGCCTGTGATAATCTGTTCGGGTCTATAACCTAAAAAATTATTTCACAGACTGGCTGAGTGGTTACGGTTAGCTGCATTAAGTCTGTAGCCCTTGAACATTGTTAGTTTAAATCCCACTGGAGATGTTCAATTTATTCAGAGTAAGCTTTCTGGCAAGGCTAGCTTGTTTAAGGTTGGTCTTTTTACAGAAATGTTTGCTTGTGCCAGATACAATGCATGGGGGAGCTTAAAAGATTTAAAAGAGATTAAAATATCATTATGATTAAAGAATTCAAAAGAATGTTCTGATTTGTTGTAGATATTTGATAAAATTCGGCACCAAGATGCAGACTTCAAAAAGAGATGTGTCGCTATCGAGGGAGATATAGTGAAGGACGGTCTAGGTATAGAACAATCTCAAGTAGACATACTAATCAAAGAGGTCTCTGTTGTGTTCCATTCAGCAGCTACAATCAAATTTGATGAAGCTATGAAGTATGTACTTTTATTTAAGAAGCAACAAACCAGATTAGTAAAATAAATTTTTAGACATTATAATTTAAGAAAGGCAATAATTATAAATACAGTTGACTTAACTTGGCACCATCGTTTGATAAATTACTGTAAATACCCGATAATTACCAAATTATCGATTCTCTGTACGAATATTAACCAAATGATAACAAATTGAATTTGATATAAGCGGAGTTGATTGTAATCAGAATCTAGGTATAACTTGACTACCTGTAACTGTTCCAATTATTTTGCCATTTCTCTGTTTGTATAATTAAGGATGGTTTGTTTGTAATATTGGGGCAGGGATGGGGGTGATGGTGTATAATTTTGATGATAAAACTAATATATACTCTGTCATATTTTACATAAGACATTTGAAATTTATTTGTGGTTTACCTTATAATAAGAGAAGTGTCTTATCTGAAATTGTATGTTTACAGTAGTGCCTTATTATGTTTATTTGCTTGTTTTCAGTCTTTTATTCTTACTAAGGTCAGGTCTATGATTTTTTGTTACTTTAGGTTGTCAGTAGATATGAACATAGTGGGTGTTCAAAGAATGTTAGAACTGAGTAGAAAATTACCAAGCCTTATATCTTTTGTACATATCTCAACTGCCTATGCAAACTGCAATGTGAATGAGATTAAAGAGGAGGTCTATCCACCTCCAATGCAGCCCAAACAACTCCTCAGTGCCGTAGGGTGAGTTTGATATAATACTTTACAACTGTCACTTTGTACAACCCAATACTAAATTCACAATTTGGATTAGAATATTTTCAATAGAATATGGTGATAATATTAGAATTTCGTAAATCTGATAAATATTTTCTTATTAAGTATTTATTGACAGGCTTGAATCCACAGTCTCAGATAACTCAAAATTTATAATCTATGAATATTTTTAATGCCTTAATCTGTTTGATTAAAAATGATGAACTAGTGCAAAAAATACAACTTAGGAATTACTATAAACCCAGGCCAAACTGCACTTCTGTGCTGTCTTATGAGAGAGCTATCCAGCTAGCTTACGTTGTTCGTGTCTGAAATAAAACTGGGAAGGGCACCTGAGGTATTCCTCCACCAGTAAAGCTGGAATGTCGCCGAATGACCTATACTGTTGTCTGTGTGACAAAAAAAACAAAACATAATAAAAACAGAACCCAAGGTGCATACTTATAGTAGTTGAGATACTGAAATCCATGGAACTATTATCGGACTTCTGTTCCAAAATAAAGTAGTGAAAAATCCATTTACCGAGAATAAAGGTAAATTCAAATGACGTGACAATGTTAATTTTTGTAGATGGATGGACTCAGAGACTCTAGATATACTGACACCAAAGATGGTAGGTAGTCGACCCAATACCTACACATTTACCAAATCTATTGCTGAAACCCTGCTCAAAGAAGAGTGTCGTGACCTTCCTGTTGCTATTTTTAGACCGTCAATAGTTGGTGCCACATACCAGGAACCAATTGCTGTAAGTAAATATTGTTTATATGTGTATACTTAACATATTAAGACAAAGACAATTGCTTTATTTTGACATGTTTCGGCTCTGATTTACCTTGACTATAAAAGGTTCCATTGTCAAAGGTCAATGGATTTTACATTAACATTGTTAATAATTAACAGATTTGATGTGGACACATTTGTAACCTATAAAAAGTTAGATCTTTTTAAAATTTGAAATTTATGTTATGCTCATTTTAGTATTAACTATAAATCTATTTCATTGTATTTATACCAGTATTTATTACATGGTTTTCATTGCATTACTTACATACAACTGTGAATTAATATATATTTTGAAAATTCACAGTGAATTTATCAAAATATTATTTCAACTTGGGCCAAGCTACATTTTATGAGACAAGCTACAGTTCATAAAAATATAGGCATATATATATGCATGTATATACATGTGCTTTCGAGTCCTGGCTGCTGCGTGTCGATTTTTCGTGCGATTTTTTTTTATGTATAATTTCCCGCTCATGACTTTCTTTCATATACATGTATATTTATATATTTCTATGAAATATATTTAAATCAAAAGAAAAGTATCAAAGATGTACTTACTTGCCTGTTTATCAATATTAAAACTTTAGATATTATATATTATTATCACACACCTGTGCCGATTTTGCGACTCCGTAAAATTGGTATTGCACGGTCGTGCATATATTTTGACGTGACGTCATTAGCGTTATACAAACATAGTGTAAAGACGCGCTAAATGTTAGGGTTATACTATAGGCGCTTCAATGAAAAATGACTTTTATTTCACTTTAAACAGTCTTTATTTTTGGGTATGTGATAAATAGAATATTAAATTCGTGTAAGTTCATTACTGAATTTATTGCACTCGTTTAATCAAATGATATTATGCTCGCCAGAAGCTCGCATAATGTAATTTCATTCAACTCGTGCAATAAATTCAGTATTGAACTTACACTCATTCAATATCCTCTATTTATATTTTTACAGGGCTGGGTAGACAATCTTAATGGACCAACTGGACTTTTTGCTGCAGTAAGTAAAGGAATGATTTTATTGTTTTTGTTATGTTTTTGTCCCTCACTTATTAAACCTTAAATTTTATATTAATTAAAAGGTCAGGTTACAAAAGATTAAAATCATATGCTAATTTTCATAAAATAACACAGCTTTTTAGATTATCTTGGGTTTTTAGCTCACCTGAGCTAGGTAGGTTTTATTGAAACTTATTAGGAATTTTAACAACATTTGATTGTAATGACTTGTGGTAGTGCTTTGAAAAAGGAGTAAATATAGCTGGCACAGCTAAAAATAGAAACAAGCTTTTAGTATACCACCATGTAAATGCATGGTAGATTTTAATGAAACTGTATAGGAATTTTCCTTGGCTGGTCCCTTACAATATAATAACTTGAATAGGCATGGTTTGCTTAATAAAATGAAAAAGATGGCCAGAGCTTAAATGTAATGTCATTGTGGTATCGGTTTTGATAAAACTCTGCGGGAGTAATCCTAGGGTGGTCCTGAAAATATAATAGCTGAAATTTTTTAAGATCGCTATACATGGTGAACACTAGTGCTAATGAAACAAAGGTCTTTAAATGAAATCTTCTCAATAGCTTGGCAGACTTAGGAAAACTCGATGAGAAAATGATCTTTATAAAAATAGCTGCAGTTTTATCTGCCTTGTAATAAAAGACTGTCAGAGCTTCAAATAGAATTGAGTTTTTAAACTGCATCTTATCGTATACTACATTTATGTTGTCTGGTAGGTTTTCTATCAACACAGAAATGTAATGATGCCTTGGATAGCCTGTACATAAAAGCAAAAATGTTCTCTCAGAACCTTCATCATAAATAAAATACTAGTATCTAAATCCGCTTAGTTATAAGTAGATAATTTTGTTTATATCTGTAGATAGGAAAAGGGGTGCTACGTACTATGAAAGGAGACTTCAACGCCACTGCTGACATTATACCTGTAGATCTTGCTACAAATATGCTCATTACTATAGGATGGTATACTGCTATACACAAGTAAGTATACTGAATAAAACCTAAAATGTTATATACTGTAGTAGGTCATATTAGTCTGGTCAGACAGAAATTGTTGAAGTCGCATACACTCAACGTTTCACATGATACCCAGAAGTCCATGTTTGTCATTGTTTAATTTGTGAAGTCGAAAATTGCTACTTTAAGATTCAATTCAGGAGTGAATTCTCACATCTCTCTTTGCTGAATATGTATCGATAGTAATGAAACTTTACAGACATGAACATTATACAATTGTACAGATTTTATCCTATGTTTGTGATAATATTGACTTATATTAGATCGAGATATAGAATTGTGGTTTCTATTATACACATTCAGTTAAAGCCTAATTCACATCAGCGGCACAAAATTTGGTTTTTATGATTTGTATAGAAATCTGTGCGTAGAAAGGTTGCAGGAAATTTTACAGTCTGTCTAGACATATTTGTATATCTATCAGTTGACATCATTTGATTACGGCCCGCATTAGCCGCAAGATGCTTGTGCGGCAAATCTTTGTTCCTGGCAAGACAAATGCAAAACATTTTTACACAGGAACCTCTAGAAATATTGAGTCTGTCGTACAATTGTCTTGAGACGCCCAAAATCTTTAAAAAAAATCTCAGAAATAATGTGCATGTTGAGAAATCAGTGTGCAATGTTACGCAACCTTGCAACCTTTAAGATTTTGTATGAATGTTTTGCCGCTTCCTCACTTAACACAATAAATTTTGTCAAAATTCGTTTGTACATCTGTTGTAAGGCTAATGTAAAAGAAGCCTTATATAGCAAATAAAAGAGTGCATTAGGGATTGAAGAATCCTAGTCATATATAAACAAAAATATATATTGATAAAAATTAAGTAACTCAAGTCTTATTTTGTTGCCAACAACACACAAATTGTATTTTATGATATGATAATCTATATAAGTTGAGTGATATGATTGTTTTCAGACCTGCTGAAATGAAAGTATTCAACTGTACATCAGGGCAAATCAACAGATTTACATGGGGACAGATGGGTAAGTTCTGTTTTTTGTTAAATTTATTCTTTGACCTATTTTTCCAGATATCAAATTGTACTTAATATGGTATTATAAGAATCGTACACTGGCTGCCGGTACAGACCGGAATATCTAGCTCGACTGTTTACGGCGGTAACAAGGCTCTGCCGAGTTTCCGCTTAACAGTTACCCGAGAGCTAGATATTCTGGTCTGTACCGGCAGCCAGTGTTTGATTCATTTTCTTGCATATTACATATCAGTTATTTTCAGAACAGGAAAGTACGAAAACTGATATTCTCATTACACACTTTTTTCTGATAGTAGCATATGAACTTACAACTTCATTCATAATGGTAAAATGACGTCATCCTAAGAACGCAATTCATTCATAAAAGGTGCACGGCAATGACGTCATTTAAAACATGCAACTTGTCGTACATGGGGGGTGTAAGACAGAGTTTTCTAGCACCGGTGTAAACGGTAGATAATCCTGTCTGACATGCAAGAAAAACATGTAGTACCATGATGTAACCGACTATCAAAAATCTGGGAAACTGTCATAATTATGATCTAGTGTTGGTGTGAAATGTGATGTGATGCATAAGGATAAAACAGGGAAGATTTATTGTTAAAATTTATGCTTTAACTAGCATCATGCAAGAAAGATATATATATGTACATGTATCATAGTTTTTCAGTTGGCTTATTGGAGAGTTGTAGTTTTACTGAACTGTTTGTGAAGCCTTGAAAGAAGTGTGTATTTAACTGGCCGGATTAAAGAGTTACCTATGCTGCCAGTTTAGAGGCCAGATAAAACTGCTTCTTTTCTCAGTTTGTTTAAACTCAATGCTGTTAATTGTTTTAACCTTAATCTACTGAATTTGTATATTTAGATTTGTCCTGCTTTGAATTTAGAACAGTTCATTTGAACTTTAAGGGATTTCAATATCAAAATATGAAAATTGGTCACCGTCAGTATAGAGCGTGGACCGACTGTTTGAATGTGCCAGCTGACATGGTTTTATACTGATGGCAAAGGCAGATTATTTCCTGTTTCAGCAGGGTAACAGTCATTACAAAATATCAGCATTTGACAGCCCTTAGAAGTTATAATAAGCTATTCTTAATTTCAACAGGACTAGTTCATTATACAGTGTTAGGGTAGTCAGATTTAATTTTTGTTTTTCATGTTGTATTACAGAGAGAATGTCATATGAATATCTCATGAAAAATCCGCTAGAGAATGTTGCAAGAATTCCTAACCCAAGATTTACCAAGAGTGTGTAAGTTATGTCTGTTTCTTTATATTGTAATACATTGAGGCATCAGTATGGTGTTAAGGGATATTTAATGCTAAATAGCATATACATGCAGTTAGAATTAGCTCTGAATTAAAGTCTGTCTATATATTCACACATACCGTCACTTACGGGGCCCATATATAAGACCGACTTGAGTGGCATTATTTCATACAGTCAGTTTTTATATATGCCACTATGTTGGCATATAATGAACATTTCCAAACAACAGAACTAAGGGTTACTAAGTTATATATATCAACTATATATTTAATTTTACAATAGGTGAAAACATTTTGACAAGAAACATAAAACCCCATAAAAATATATACATTTGTGGTGCATATAGCATTAACTATTAAAACCAGCTTACGGGCACTATTTTAGAAGGGTAGCCTACACCCCCATACGTCATTTTAAACATGGTAGAGTTGCGAGGTCTTATGTATGGCCCACATTAAATATAAACCCCACAAGTATGGTTTTAAATAGACAGATGCCCCGTAAATGGAGGAATGTAACTGTTAAAGGTTTGAAAAAATAAATCATTGCTTTCAAATCTTTTTCACATGATATTATAATATTATAATTTCTACACTGCTTTCTGAACATCTGCGTTCTACTAGCAGAAGGAGGAAGGGGGTTTTGAAATAGTAAATAACATTGGTATTCTATACCTGTATACCTGTTGTCCATACATGGTAGCAATATTGTTTGGATAGTAAACTATATTCAGTGATGCAGTAATAAACTGAAAATGTTTCATGTCTTTGTGTGGGGAAAATGAAATTGTTTACAAATATATTTTGCTACGCTTAGCATTTACCATAATAACAATATTTCCTGCAATTAAGTTGTTCAAATAACATTCAAAACATCTTTTAAACTGAAAACTGTAGAAATATGGTAAGTTAAGATTTTTCCTTCCTAGTTTATGAAATGGTTGATATGAAACATTTTCTGAGAAAAGTTTTGTATCTGTACAGATTATGGCATGACATGAACGTGTTATTTGACCATATGCTACCAGCATACATGATGGACTTCTATATGTGGATATCTGGTAGACGACGCATGTAAGTATATTCATATTGAACATTTAAATTGCATACCTCTTTTATAATACTGCAGACACAAAGCAATCACTATCTCATTTATCTCTACGGACTAGAACTCCTGTATTACTGACTATATGTATAACTCTCTGTATATTGTAACTGAATTGTAACGGCATTTCTCTCTAAACCATGTTTCTGTTTCCAAAAGTTCCCAGATAATGATTTGCCTCCTTTAAAGACCACTAGTATGGTTAAATTCTGTACTTTAGGGTACCAAATTAAAACTGCATCTACCTTACCACTAGATGATGTGAAGGATTATTGGATACAAGATTCTAGATAATCCCTTTTTATATTTGCAAGAATGTTCTGCTTTATCAAAGCTTAGTAATAATTGTTTATTTTGGTTGATGTTGATGTGAATTAAGTTTTTCGTTGTATTGTATTCACTACATATTACTTTGGGACAGTGTCAAAATTAAAGCAGGGTAAGTTAATTAACTCTAAACCCATTTGAATAATAATTATGTGATATAGGTTTTCCCTGCTTTAAAATTGGAACATTCCATTGAAGTCTTCAAATGATTACAATATCAAAATACAAAAATTAGCTGTCAACTGTATTGAACCTGGTCAGACTGCACAGATGTGCAGGCTCCCCTGGCTCTATACTGGTGGCAAATGCTAACTTATTTTGTTTGAAGCAGGTTATGGATTAAATGATTTTTTATTTCAGGTTTGTGAGAATCCAGGGTAAACTGCAGAAGGCAGTAAGCAGTCTTGATTTCTTCACAAGTAAAGGATGGACATTTTCCAACGACAACATGTACTTACTGGAGAAAGCATTAACACCTGAAGATAGGAAGGTAAGTGAACATTTCTGTCATTGTTTGCCTTAATTAAACTGCTTAGATCACTGGAGAGATAGATGATTTGTAATACAATGGTCACTGGTTTAATCCTAGGGCAAGGTGACATTTCTCTGTGACATTTAATCTTGCACATTTGAGCCGCGTCACAACAAACCCAACATAATGCGTTTGTGACCAGCATGGATCCAGACCAGTCTGTGCAGCTGCGCGGTCTGATCAGGATCCATGCTGTTCGCTATCAGTTTCTCTACTTGTAAAAGGGTTGGTAAGCGAACAGCATGGATCCTGATCAGGTCTGGATCCATGCTGGTTGCAAACGCATTATGTTGGTTTTGTTGTGACACAGCTTATTTAGTCTAATGGTAATTATACCCCCGCACAACAAAGTTGTAAGGGGAGTATACTGGAATCAGCTTGTCCGTCCGGCCATCCGGCTGTCCGGCCGTCCGTCGGTTTTTTCTTGTCCGCCCAATAACTTAAGATTCCTTTGACCCTTAGTCTTCATATTTGGCATGGAGGTTAGTCATGATTAGAAGATGACCCCTATTGATTTTGAGGTCACTAGGTCAAAGGTCAAGGTCACAGGGGCCTTGACTTCAAAAAGCTTGTCCGCCCAATAACTTAAGATTCCTTTGACCTACAGTCTTCATATTTGGCATGGAGGTTAGTCATGATTAGTAGATGACCCCTATTGATTTTAAGGTCACCAGGTCAAAGGTCAAGGTCACAGGGGCCTTGACTTCAAAAAGCTTGTCCGCCCAATAACTTAAGATTCATTTGACCCAAAGTCTTCATATTTGGCATCGAGGTTAGTCATGATTAGTAGATGACCCCTATTGATTTTGATGTCACCAGGTCAAAGGTCAAGGTCACAGGGGCCTTCACTTCAAAAAGCTTGTCCGCCCAATAGCTTAAGATTCCTTTGACCCACAGTCTTCATATTTGGAATGAAGGTTAGTCATGATTAGTAGATGACCCCTATTGATTTTGAGGTCACCAGGTCAAAGGTCAAGGTCACAGGGGCCTTGACTTGAAAAAGCTTGTCCGCCCAATAACTTAAGATTCCTTTGACCCACAGTCTTCATATTTGGAATGGAGGTTAGTCATGATAAGTAGATGACCCCTATTGATTTTGAGGTCACCAGGTCAAAGGTCAAGGTCACAGGGACTTTGACTTCAAAAAGTTTGTCTGCCCAATAACTTTAGATTCCTATGACCCACAGTCTTCATATTTGGCATGGATGTTGATCATGACTATAAGGTGACCCCTATTGATTTTGAGGTCACTGGGTCAAAGTTCAAGGTCACAGGGACCTTGACAAAAAAAAAGCTTTTCTTCTCAATTGCTAAAGTAAATGTCCTGTCCGCAATGTATTGATTTTGACATTTTCACATTTGAAGCATTGCACTGGCTTAGTAACCTCAGATTTGGCAGGGAGATTGTCCTTGAGCTCTAAATGGCCACTGTTGATTCTGACAAAGTGGTATGCGGGGGTATTCAGGCCATCATAGTGGCAGTTCTAGTTTTTGTCTGTCACACCTGATTTAGAAATCATATTATTGAACATTGAGTCACTTGTGGAGAAATTGGCTGTTACTGGTTAGTTGTCCAGGAAAGCTGGTTTGATAGACCAAACACTCTGGTCGAATAGAAATTGGTGTAATAACTACACAGACAAACCTATATTAATTTCTTTAAGATAGTAAATATGTCAAGTATAAACTCGTTTTCATTAGTGATCTTGAAGATTTATGTGATCCAATAAAGATTTATTTCAAACAACTTACATATGAGCCGCGTCACGACAAAACCAACATAGCGCATCCACGCAGTCTGATCAGGATCCATGCTGTTCATTATCAGTTTCTCTACTTGTAATAGGGTTGGTAAGCAAACAGCATGGATCCTTATCAGACTGCGCGAATGGGCAGGCTGGTCTGGATCCATGCTGGTCGCAAACGCACTATGTTAGTTTTGTCGTGACGCGGTTCATAATATGCATGTTTTTATGGGTTTTTTTAATACTTTTTTTATTCATGGCTTATATTGTATCAAATGCTAGATTATTTATACTTTATTCTAATTTTAGAATTTCACATTCAATCCCAAAGTGATACACTGGCCCACATATATGGAGGCATTTTGTCTAGGAACAAAACAATTTGTACTGAAGGAAGAATTGTCCAAACTTCCTCATGCAAGGAAAGCACTAGCCAGGTATATTAGTATTTTAATAAATCAGTTACATGTTTATTTTTGTTTTCTTTTATTCTGTATAACTATTTTAGTGAATTCTTTTTATGTCAAAAAGCTTGCCAAGACCCTGAAGAATTCACCATCCGAGTTATAAACTGAAAATCTGGAAACAAAGTGATCCCTCGGAAGCATTAATCATAACAAAATTACATGAAAATTGCAGACTTGGTTTGATTCAGTCTGTACATGAGGGATAATGAATATGTTCAACACTAGCACTGGCTTGAGGGGTACTTAATTCTCAACACTTAATAGTGCTGACATCAATGATTCCGAAGGACCAGACAAATATAACAACACTGAAATTAAGTATGGTGCAACTTTTAACAGCTGCCACACAGCAGTTGACACCTGCTGTTGTGAAGTATAGAAATCTGGAAACAAAGTGATCCCTTGGAAGCATTATTCACAACAAAATTACTTGAAAATGAAGGCTGCAGACTAGCCTGCAAGATGTTGATTAACTAATTAAGAACTGGAATGAAATATTCATCTTTTAAACTTTTCATTCATGTGTAAGGTAATCTTTAGCCAAGTAGTTTTGATATGATCCTCGCTTTTAGGGAGAAAATTTTGAGTCCTCATTTGACACCAGTACTGGTAACATTAGTGTATGATATATGCATAAAAAGTTAATGTGCATTTATTTCATTGAATTTATATCTCTTAGGTTACAAAGAATCCACCTGGCTTTCAACGTCCTGGTGTTTGTCATTGTGTGGAGACTATTGGTGAAGAGAGTGACAGTTGCTCGTCTCTTGTGGAACATGGTTCTAAGCTGGGCATCCAAAATACTGCAGAAGGTTCCAGGGTTTGCCAAAGCAACATAAGACAGATATACTGTGATATGATGTTGATCAAATGTTACTTCAGGAGATATATTAACACTGTTACATTAAAATATCTTTATAATTTATATACATAGTATAATTTTTCACATTGTCTTTCCTATCTTTGAAGAAAATAGCAGGAAAATAAAGCATTTCTTATTTCTTACATTTAATTTTTGTTCAAGGTATTGAAATTTTTTGCTGCAAGAAATTGATCAAATAAACCCCAAAGACGTTTGAATTGAGGAAATGTATAAAATTATTCGAAGAATATAATCATATCATTGAAATATTTACATTTAACTGAGACATAAGCTATTGTGTTCAAGTATTTATAACAAAGGATGTTTAACTATATTTATCTGTTGGTAATATTAGAATAATTATTGGTTACCTAACATATATTATAACAAAGCACATGAATGGAAAATTTCTGTGAGTGGATGGACCATGCTATAAAAGCCTTACCCACTTGATAAACAATTTACACATACTGTTATGGAACTTTTATTAGTTTGATTTATTTTCTATGCATTGTTTAGGAGTAGAAAAAGAGTTCGCTATTAATTTTGGCACGACACATTTCATTATGTTGAATATGTTTTTTTAAAATCTCAAACATATTTTATTTTGTATCAACGTTTGTTGCTTTTATTTGACACAAATTTTGCAGCTTTTTAATTATGGTAAATATAACACATTTGACTAAGACTTCTAATTAATTGATGACAGAAATGCTTGTTAAAGAGAATTTATGATCGAGTAGTTGTCATAAATATGAAGACGTAGTTATTATAAAAATATCACATGTCTCAAAGGGAAATAGTGCTTATTAGTGACTCCAGACATGAAATAACACTCGAGGTGCACGAATACTGAAATAACCACCGAGGGTATTATTTCATTTCAAAGGAAATAACCACCAAGGGTATTATTTCAGTTCAATGTAAATAACCACCGAGGGGTATTATTTCAGTTCAAAGGAAATAACCACTGAGGGTATTATTTCAGTTCAATGTAAATAACCACCGAGGGTATTATTTCAGTTCAAAGGAAATTACCACCGAGGGTATTATTTCAGTTCAAAGGAAATAACCACCGAGGGTATTATTTCAGTTCAAAGGAAATAACCACCGAGGGTATTATTTCATTTCAAAGGAAATAACCACCGAGGGTATTATTTCATTTCAAAGGAAATAACCACCAAGGGTGGTATTATTTCAGTTCAAATGGAAATAACCACCGAGGGTATTATTTCATTTCAAAGGAAATAACCACCGAGGGTATTATTTCATTTCAAAGGAAATAACCACCGAGGGTATTATTTCATTCAAAGGAAATAACCACTGAGGGTATTATTTCATTTCAAAGGAAATAACCACTGAGGGTATAGTTCAAAGGAAATAACCACCGAGGGTGTTATTTCAGTTCAAAGGAAATAACCACCAAGGGTGGTATTATTTCAGTTCAAATGGAAATAACCACCGAGGGTATTATTTCATTTCAAAGGAAATAACCACCAAGGGTATTATTTCATTTGAAAGGAAATAACCACCGAGGGTAAAGTTCAAAGGAAATAACCACCGAGGGTATTATTTCAGTTCAAAGGAAATAACCACCAAGGGTGGTATTATTTCAGTTCAAATGGAAATAACCACCGAGGGTATTATTTCATTTCAAAGGAAATAACCACCGAGGGTATTATTTCATTTCAAAGGAAATAACCACCGAGGGTAAAGTTCAAAGGAAATAACCAATGAGGGTATTATTTCAGTTCAAAGGAAATAACCACTGAGGGTATAGTTCAAAGGAAATAACCACCGAGGGTGTTATTTCAGTTCAAAGGAAATAACCACCAAGGGTGGTATTATTTCAGTTCAAATGGAAATAACCACCGAGGGTATTATTTCATTTCAAAGGAAATAACCACCGAGGGTATTATTTCATTTCAAAGGAAATAACCACCGAGGGTATTATTTCAGTTAAAGGAAATAACCACCGAGGGTATTATTTCAGTTCAAAGGAAATAACCACTGAGGGTATTATTTCAGTTCAAATGGAAATAACCACCGAGGGTATTATTTCAGTTCAATGTAAATAACCACCGAGGGTATTATTTCAGTTCAAAGGAAATAACCACCGAGGGTATTATTTCAGTTCAAAGGAAATAACCACCGAGGGTATTATTTCATTTCAAAAGATAATAACCACCGAGGGTATTATTTCATTTCAAAGGAAATAACCACCAAGGGTGGTATTATTTCAGTTCAAATGGAAATAACCACCGAGGGTATTATTTCAGTTCAAAGGAAATAACCACTGAGGGTATTATTTCAGTTCAAAGGAAATAACCACTAAGGGTATTATTTCATTTCAAAGGAAATAACCACCGAGGGTAAAGTTCAAAGGAAATAACCACCGAGGGTATTATTTCAGTTCAAAGGAAATAACCACTGAGGGTATAGTTCAAAGGAAATAACCACCGAGGGTGTTATTTCAGTTCAAAGGAAATAACCACCAAGGGTGGTATTATTTCAGTTCAAATGGAAATAACCACTGAGGGTATTATTTCAGTTCAAAGGAAATAACCACTGAGGGTATTATTTCAGTTCAAAGGAAATAACCACTGAGGGTATTATTTCATTTCAAAGGAAATAACCACCGAGGGTATAGTTTAAAGGAAATAACTACCGAGGGTATTATTTCAGTTCAAAGGAAATAACCACTGAGGGTATTATTTCAGTTCAAAGGAAATAACCACCGAGGGTATAGTTCAAAGAAAATAACCACCGACGGTATTATTTCAGTTCAAAGGTTGCCAATATGCAGTATTACCCCTAGAGACATGTGTTATTTTTTTATATTACCAAACCAACATTTTTATACAGTAAAACTAAAATATACAGTAAAAAGTTCATGTGAGCAGTGTGGCCAGGGAAGATAACTAAACATTGTTTTCTTAAGTCTATATAGATTACTCGCCCCTTGGGAATATTGGAAAACATTATTGATTGGGTGAAATTCATTTCCAGAATGATAGATCAGATTACACCTGTGACGTCACATTCAGTTAAATAGTAAAAAGTTTATGTGAGGTATAGTAACAGATATTAATTAATGATTAAGTACAATTAAGTTGTTACTTTTGTTATAAGTTTTATAATATAGTAGTTTGCATATCAGAATTTTAAGTCTGTTAATCCAAGAGTGGCTCCAAAGCTGTTTTATCACTCTTGTTTTTTTGATAGTTTTCAATAATTTGATTTTTTTAATTGAACTTTTTTAGTGTTTTTTTTTCCATGTATATTTTACACATTTGCTCAAATGCTCAACTTTCATACATGTATTTGTGTTGTTTATTTTTTATATTGTTGAATTATGACAATACTTTTCATGAAAATTTGGTCAAAAATCGCATGTTTTCCAGTGTCATTTAATACAGTTTTCAGAGCAAAAAATACTGTTTTTCCACTTGCTTTAATATGTCTATTAATTTAATATATCTGTTAACTTTAGTGGTCATTATTATAAATTAGATAAAAACCAGTAAAGAAGCTTAAAATAGAGCTCCGCCTTTGGTCTATTTATAACCAGTCAAATTCAAGAGTTTATAACTAGTGTTCAAGAAAATATTTCTATGTTATCAGGGATTCTTCTCATGGGATTTGTTCTTGCTACAAATGTTACATTTATCAGTATTTTTGTATATGCAAATGTATACATAAATGGTAGGCTTGATGCAAGAAAGCTTTTATCTCCTATATTGATGTATGAGATACAACAGTTTTATATCAAGTCATTTACCAGGAATAATTTCCAAGAGCTATCTTACTCTCGTTGATATACGCGCTCATGTTAGCGTCACACCTTGGTTAAGTTTTTATTGTACCACTACTTTTTCTCTGAACTCATTATGGTTATACTTTGAAATGCTCAAGATAGCTACACGTATCTCCATTTGAAAGCAAGAGCTTTGATTATAACAAAGTTGCACTAGCTTTTTCCTTGCAATTACAGCACAGGTTTTTGAAGCACCAGATGTTGAAACGTCTTCGAAACCTGGAATACTAACTAATGATCATTACCCCCTTTTAAAGATAATAGAACATGATAATCAATCTGTCATGGATCTTAACAGGATAATTCCCCCCTTTAAGACCATTTCAAAAGACAGACATGAAAGTCACATTTACCCTTCTATGATATGTTAAGAAAAGTCGAGTTCACTGTACGGTAGACAGATCTTGTTACTATTTTCTCTGTATATTATATCAAAGGCAGTGTTCTAAGTATCTGTGATATTTTATATAATTATTTTTAGTACATGTATCTTGTAATTTCTATGTAATTGTCCAATCTACACAGTATGGAGATTGAATTATACCTGTATTATCTATACATTACCATCTGTACCAATACTTGATGATCATGATTAAAGAAGAATATCTTATCTATCAAATATTTTGTTGTCTTATATGTAACATGATAATTTATTACAGTTTAATAAACATTTTGAAGTAATGACACAGAGATGCAAATGCATCTGGAAGAAATCCAAATGTGTGTGATTCGAGTTTCTGAATCCCAGGGTGGGGCGTCGTGGCCGAGTGGTTAAGGTTGTTGACTTCAAACAACTTGCCCCTCACCGCTGTGAGTTCGAATCCCTACATGTGCTTAGGATTCATTCATGTGAGGAAGCTATCCAGCTAGCTTGAAACTTGAAAACTTGATTTAACGCCTATTTCTACATATAAAATACATATTCAATGGCGTTGTACAGCTATATACCTTAAATGTGCTACTCCCAGTGCTACCATACACAATACTCCCAGCAGTGCGACGGTCACAGTGATTGGGTCAATCCCCACCAACATGTAACAATCTACACCCCTGCACATGATAACACATGGGCTAGACTTTATTATATTATTATAAAATGAAAATAATAAAAACACTAGAAATATACAAACATGCACACAACAATTAGGAACAGACAATGCCTTCAGCGTCACTTAAAAAAGTGCAAAAAAGTCCTTGAAGTAAAATGATTTCAGTTGTCTTTTGAAAATTTCAACAGATTCACATTTTCTCATATTAATAGGTAGTTCATTCCACAATTTTGGTCCTATCGTGCTAAAAGCTCTGTCAGAAAAAGTCCTCTTCTTATTAAAAGGAACAACATAACAACCAACTGAGGATTCAGATGATCTTAAGGTTCGTTTTGACACTTGATGAACCAAAAGCTCTATTAAATATGATGGTGCGTTTCCTACCGAACAGTTATACATGTATGTCAGTATCATGAAACTGATTCGTGCTTTAATCGGAAGCCAGTGCAGATCGAATAATGCCTGTTTAGAACTATCATACTTGGAACGACCTAACACCAGTTTGGCACACATATTTTGAATACGTTGAAGTTTTGCTAATTCATTTTGAGATATGCCGTACAGAATGATGTTGCAATAATCTAAATGGGATATTACTAAAGATAAAACAAGTGTTTCAGCGGCTTCCTTTGTCAGATACTTTCGAATGCTCTTGATCTTGAAATAGTTTAACATAGCAGTTCTACACTTTCTTTTAATGTGATCTTTGAAATTTAGAGACTCATCCAAAAAAGCACCAAGATAACGTATACAATGTTGTGATTCAATAACATTACCACAGATATTGATTTCTTTGGTGTTACACTTATTCAGCTGTGGACGACTTCCGAAAAGAATAAACTCTGTCTTTGAATTGTTCATTTTTAACTTGTTGCTGTTCATCCACTCATTTATATGCACTGCACAGTCCTGGAGGTCCCGAATTGCGCTTGCTTCTGCGGTAGGTGATGGTTTAAAACGTTTATTCGCAACGTGGTCGTCGGCAAATCCGTGCACGGAAATGGAGGGAGGTACAATGTCAAAGATAGTTCCTGCGTACGTCAAGTAGAGCCAAGGGCCCAAACAGCTTCCCTGGGGGACACTACAGTCAAGTTCCCGTTCTGATGACACATTCGAGTTAACACTCACTCGACAGCTACGCGGCCTCAAATATGAATCTATCCATTCCAGCGCAGATCCAAAGACGCCATATTGACTTTCAAGAACATTTAACAGTATGTTATGGTCAACAGTATCAAAAGCAGCACTTAAATCTAGAGCTATCAGTGCAGTGACCTCTTGATGCTCCATTGCATCAAGAATGTCGTTTACGAGTCTAAGAAGGGCTGACTCACAAGAGTGAAACTGACGATAGGCCGACTGATTCGTTGGAAGGAGATCGTTTCCGTTTACATGTTTGTTTAGTCGTTGAAGGGCGGCTTTTTCAATCAATTTGGACAAGAATGACAAGTTGCTGACGGGTCGATAGTTGGCAAATGTGAGTTCAAGACCAGATTTTTTTCAACAGAGGCCTGACTATTGCCTTTTTCCATTTAGCTGGAAAAACACCTTGCGTCAGAGAAAGATTCACAAGCTGGGTAATCATAGGCAAAAGTTCATTGAGAAATGATTTCAATACTTTGGTGGGCAGAAATGTCAAGCTCACAAGATTTAGTTTGTAACTGACTTATGAGCATTTTAATCTCATCCTCTGAAAGACTTTCGAAAGATCCAAACGGTGGTACGTCTTTGACCAAAGGTTTATAGTTTTCAAAATCTTTCAGAGACTCGCGTATCTTCTTGATCTTGTCCATAAAATGGTCTGCGAATTTATCCGCAAGGGTGTTTTCATCTTCCACGGGTGGCATTGGGTTTTCTGACTTGCTTCCGGTAAGATCTTTCACAAATTGATAAAGCTTTTTAGAGTTACCTTTTGATTCAATTACCTTCTGACTAAGTGTTAATTGTTTCACATTTCTAAGTTCATAGTGATATTTGTGAAGTGCGGACTTATAAATTTCATAGTCCTTGGGTTGCCGATGTTTGCGCCAAAGTCTCTCTGATCGACGCATCACTCGTTTCAGGGACATAATACTTTCACTGAACCAGGGCTTCGGTGCTCTACATATTTGAATTTTCTCTTTCATAGGTGCATGTGTATTAAGGAGTTTCTCGATCTCAGTCTCAAACTGGTCAACAAAATTTTCCACAGAATCAGTACATATTGCCATTTGATTAAGGTCGTTAGCGAAACCCTCGTTGTCCATATCTTTAAAGTGCCGGAAAGAAATAGATTTGCTCACAATGTTCTCCTTTTTTACCCTCGTGACTACTTTAACAGCACAGTGGTCTGACAAAAACGGACCTGGTTCACATGAGAGTAGATCAACGCCATTTGCGAGTTCGGTGATCACTAGATCAAGACTATGGCCGTGCACATGAGTTGGAAAGTCAACATGTTGTAGCAAACCGAGAGCAAACAGGGAATTATTGAACTCTGAAACAGCGCTACTGTCATCATGAATGTGTAAGTTAAAATCTCCCATAATCATTAGATTTAAATACTTCGGAACTATGTCTTCTAGGAACTGAAAGAATTCTGTCACAAATTGATTTGGTGTTGCCAAAGATGGAGGTCTATATATACCAACACAGTGAATTGTAATGCTTTTGAAGATTAATTGCCACACTCCGTACTCAAAGCTTGATTTTGCACCGGAAAGCAGTCTACGCATGTTAACACCACTACGACATGTAAGGGCAACACCACCGCCAATTCTGTTTTGACGGTTTGAAACACTGATTTTGTAACCATTTTGGTTCAGATCCGAGGTCTCAAATTGATATTGTTTTTCATCAGAATACCAGGTTTCGGTCAGAATGGCAAAGTCAACTTTCTGTTCACGGAGCAGTTGTCCAACAAGTACATCTTTTCTGACTAATGATCGGCAATTTACAGTCAAGCAGGTAACATTCTCTGTAAAATTGCTTAGAGTATTACATCGTTTTGGATATATAAGATTTGAGAGATTTACACAAGTTTGCTTTTTAATTCTTCGGTGTCCATTGTGTGTTTTAATCCCTGCTCGCGCTCTTCTAAAGTTTAATATTCCTAGATATTTTAATTTTGACAATACTTCTTGATTAGGTATAATCCATTGCCTAGGGAGTGAACGAAATCTCATCAGTTCACTTGCACTATATGATCGTCTAATCGTGCCCTCGGGATAATCCATGGTATATACTGAGATGGTGTTCACCCAGTTACAACACACTACTTTGTTGTATTCGAATTGTTTCAAACACAGACAATCCAAAAACGTAATAAATATCCAAATAATTAAGATCATATCTATGATTAGTACATATTCATAGATTTCCACAACAAAAATCAAATCTCTACAAGCACTACTTCCAATAAAAATCCAAGTTTTATAAGAGAGTAACGATTTAGCAGCCTAACAGTCGGCGCACATAAACTTCAGCTTACGGAACGTCGGTGGTTCTACTCAGGTGTTCATTCGTGCCTGAAATAATGCACAGAAGGGCACTTAAGGTCTTCCCCCACCAGTAAAGCTGGAACGTCGCCATATGACCTATACTGTGTCGGTGTTACATAAAACCCAATCAAAGAAACGAACCCCAGGCTGTTCAAATATATAAATGTAACGCTGAAAACCAAGTTAAAGGCTAAATACACATATTAAGTTGTCAGAAATTATATTAATTGAAAGACATTTACGTATTGTCAGTTATAAAGTTGATGCTATGTGAATAAAAGATTACATATTTGTCTAAAAAGGCATGGTCATGGCTCAGGAAAATGGTGTTTTTTATACAATTTATATAGAGAAAGAACAAATCGCCGAAACCAAAAACGACCATGCCATGCGGAAATCTCTAGGACATATTACTTGGGTTTTGGGCTTTAAACTGTACACAGAAGACCCTCGAAACTTGTACAAAATCGAATCCGCATTGGAATCAGACCAATGGTGTTTAAACGTTTGGCTTAGGAAAATGGTGTTTTTTTATACAATTATATAGAGAAAGAACAAATCGCCGATATCAAAAACGACCATGCCACGCGGAAATCTCTAGGACGTATTTCTTGTGTTAGGGCTTTGAGCTTTATACTGTGCACAGTAGACCCTCAAAACATGTACAAAATTGAATCCGCATTAAAATCAGACAAATGATGTTTAAACGGTTGTATCAGGAAAAATGGCGTTTCCTGATGGAAATAACACCGGCAGTTATAGCTTCAGGGAACACAGTCAAGCTGACACAACACATGGTGATATGCCTTTTGGGGATCTTTACAGCAAAAACAACGGCAGGTATAGCCTTAGGGAACACAGTCAAGCTAACAGAAACCACGGTGATATGCCTTTTCGCGTGTCCTTATGAAAATAACACCGGCAGTTATAGCTTCAGGGAACACAGTCAAGCTGACACAACACATGGTGATATGCCTTTTGGGGGATCCTTACGGCAAAAACAACGGCAGGTATAGCCTTAGGGAACACAGTCAAGCTAACAGAAACCACGGTGATATGCCTTTTCGCGTGTCCTTATGAAAATAACACCGGCAGTTATAGCTTCAGGGAACACAGTCAAGCTGACACAACACATGGTGATATGCCTTTTGGGGGATCCTTACGGCAAAAACAACGGCAGGTATAGCCTTAGGGAACACAGTCAAGCTAACAGAAACCACGGTGATATGTTTTTTCGCGTGTCCTTATGAAAATAACACCGGCAGTTATAGCTTCAGGGAACACAGTCAAGCTGACACAACCCACAGTGATATCCCTTTTTGGGGGTTATAGATGTTACAAGTTTGTTACATTGTTGTTACAGCATTGTTACACATGTTACGAGAGTTGAGAATGAAATGAAAATTTCACACATGATTGTTACAAATTTTACAGGTTGTTACAAGTATTACAGCACAAGCCTTTAAAATTGTAAGAAATCAGAATTAACTTGTTACAAGTGATACTCAATTCACATGCGTTACATAGGTGTTACTTAGTGTTACGCTTGTAACAAATGGCAAGTGTTTCGTTAAATTGCGCCCATTTTGTGCCCTACGTGAATTGAATGTATTGTTGTTGTTTATGAGAACATCTGCCGGAAAATCATTCATTGTGATATCATTGACAAAATAACACATACAATTTCATACTGTTTAAAATAATATACAAGATAAATTAATTGTTGCAATCTAATTTGAAATGGAAGCGTATGTTTTCGCTTGTTTCACGTCATCATTTTATTCTGTCTAATTCCACATGAACATACACTAAGAAACGTTATTCACTACAAGTATTTCATTACATCATAACAGGCAAAAATCAACTACGTTTGACAGAAAATAAGTAATAAAGTAAAACACGTTGTTTATGTTATTTTGGATGCAAAACAAAAATGAATGGATACGGATTTTATTGTTTATTAAATTTATTTTGATTTATTGTCTTTCAAAACATATATCATTCATAAGTCCAATTGATAAAGGCATGGCAAAAATGAATTTCTCGTGTTAAATGTTGAATTCTGTTTAAGCCGGTGCTAGGGGGCGTGGACGGTAACTTGCACTTTCCATTACCGTCCATGAACAGGCTCAATCTAACCGAGCCTGCAACATTTTCAATTTTTAGGCTCTTTAGGGATTATGTTTTTCTCTATTTCATTGTCACATCCGTGTTATTTGTGCCGTGTGGCGGCTGTAAAAAGTCTCCCCGTACATTTAATCAATGATGTTATATTTTCGATCCTTGAAGATCGTTCAGCACGACATTATTGTTGTGTATACATGTCATGTGGTACTTTTAGTTTCTTCTATTTGGCCTTTTTCAACTTGGGTGGTTCCAGTATTCCAATTTGAATACTGTATAATCACCCTTAGGATATGTTGCCTGCTTTTTAAATTTGTCTTTTGACGTCTTATCTGTGATATGCAGGCTTCATAACCTCAGATCCCCTTTCAAAATTCCATTTTATTTAGTTCCGCCCATTGTTTTCTCGTTTAGGGCACAAGCATTCTTTTACTTGGGAACCATATGCCGCTTTTCATGGAATGACACTATTGTGTCAAATTGAAGGTTCTATGATAACCGCCGTATGAACACATCTGCGGATGTTTTTCTAAATTCAAAATTTTGCCATTCTCGTGCTAAATGTTGAATTCTGCTTAAGCCGGTGCTAGGGGACGTGGACGGTAACTTGCACTCTCCATTACCGTCCATGAACAGGCTCAATCAAACCGAGCCAGCAACATTTTCAATTTTGTCGTGTTGGGCTTTCTTTAGGGATTCTGTTTTTCTCTATTTTATATGCAAATTTGTATGCCATGATTAATAACGTGTATATTAAATTGCTATACAAAATGTTAACATTATGTTATGATCGGCACTTACAATCCACGAAAATAAACAAAACGTGCTCAGCATGTGCAAAAAACAGCCCTTACTGGTTAGTAACGTAGTAGAATTATGGTAATACTGCCAAATCAGTCTTAAACCACACATGTAAAATATAACTTGGATTTTGAATGTTTTTACCTTTCTTAAAAGTTTAGTGCTTTTTTCTCAATATTGATTTTCTTGAAATATTTTGGCTCATCTGGAGGCGTGCAGCTTTAATACAAACATTAATTAAAAATTTTCTATGATATTTATAAGCATGTGGATTTTGATTTTGTTTCACGAGATAAATTGAACAACACTTTGTCATGAGTAAATAAACAAACAACAAAGGTGTGTCGCTTACATATTTGTCGTGGTGAGAAAATAACAGTGATATATAACGGTAAGCCGGATATGAAAAACATACACCAATATTTCTATGAAAATGATAAAAATTCACTGTATAAAGTTCATCATAATGATACAGTTATACTGGTGCAGACATAGACCTACAGTAGTACAACAAATAAAAGCGAGACAATATAAACTGGTGACCAAACAAACGGGAGAATCCTTATCCTTAGATGGTTCAGGGATAGTACTTTCAGCTTTAATTTAATGTGTTAATTAATCACCTGTCATATAAAACTTATTAAGTTTAAGGATATCCTGGAAGAGAAGACAAAAAGTGGGTCCTATAAAAGTGTCTGCTCAATTTTTGTATTGAAAGTTTAATATTAAGATGTACTCCAATTATTGCACGTCTAAACGTTGACGATCCATCTATGAGATGTTGAAATATGAATTTTTTTCAAAACGGCTTATATTAAGTTTTTTTGATATATATGATCAGTACATGTGCTGGGATTGACAAATATGCATTTTATTTGGATTTTAAAGGCGTTTTGAGCTCCAAATCCCAAGTGTCTGTGGTCATTAACAGCGTAATTGAGTTTTTGATGAGTTAATTCGTACAATGTAATAAGTATTTTTAGTTGTGTTCACTTTAAAAATACGACAAATTACTTGAATATAGAATAGGTCGATATATTTTACATTTTCCTTTTTACGAAGGCGGACGGAGCAAAATGTGAAACATTAACATTTAAGATAGAAAAAAATCATCTGTTCATAACACAATTTGTACAACATATTTTTTTTAAGGAACATTTATACTTATTTGCACACACAAATATTAAGCAAAATGACAACATAAACTGTATACTTTTGTAACATCCCTTGTTGTTAACGTGAGTGACAGTGTCACAATTTATTATCATGGATTCACTGATAAGAAAACTTTCAAAATATACGAGTATAGCAACCATTACATCGTCATAGATATTAAAAGTTGTTTAATAAACTGTGTTATATAGAAAATAATCGCATATATATTGGATATTACAGTGAACTACACGTTTTTCATTCGTTACAGACTAACATGGTTTCTGTGACTTTGGAAATCTCCAGCTTACTCGTTCTCTTGATGCATTGTTGTGTGTTCTCCCAGACATGTGTTTCGCCGACACCAAAATGTGACTGTTTTGAGACAGAAGGGAAGAAAATAATAAATTGTAGGTATAAAAACCTAACAGAGATACCAACATTTACTGACACACACTTGATTTACGACGAGATTAGATTTACCTCGTTGGAAAACACTGGGACCTGTCAGCCATTCGCAAAATGTAACAACATAAGGCGCTTACACGCGAACGCTTTCGCTAAATTGAAGGTTAAAACAATTGACCTGAGAAATAACCCAATATCAGATGTGGATATGTCGGCTTTTAACTCACTGGTACCAACATTGACGTCACTTCTACTAGAGGGAGATGGCTCGAACACAATGCCGTACCAAGCACTTGCCCAGCTGGATGTATATCTCAAATCTTTACATCTGGAGAATTACGGATCCGCTGTCTTGCAAATCCCAGTTGTGTTACCTTTCCCAAACTTGGAATCTTTATCCCTGATAAACTGGAAACATTTGACGTCTATTCAACCGGATATATTACGTATAATGCAGAACGTAACTAGATTCCGTCTGGAAAAGATGCCTTCATTAACATTTTTACCTGTACCAGCATTACAAACTTTTCAAAAACTGTCATCTTTATATATTATCGACACAGGAATAGATCACATTTTCGGAGACTCATTCGCTCCATTGAACGGTTTGAAAGAAGTGAATATACTAAATAATATACATTTAAAATCAATTGCTCGTAACGCATTTAATGGAGTGAAAGATACAATTGTCTTCTTGGATATTAGTAGCAACAGCTTGGATAACATCGACTTCCTTAGAGGCGCCCTTTGGACAAGTTTATATCAGCTAAATATAGGTTATAATTTTGAAATAAGAACATTTATTCCTGGTATATTTCGCGAAACCCCTGCTTTAAGGTATATAAACTGTCAGGATATCGGTCTTACAAGAATTGACAAGAATATGTTTGTTGGCCTATCAAATCTTCATACGCTCGATCTGTCTTTTAACCAAATAAACTCTGTCACAACCCGGGCTTTTCAGAACATGCCGTTTCTCGTAGACCTTCGAATAAATGATCAGAATACGCATAATACGCGTATACATTTTCAGAATAATTCATTCTTCGGAATTGAAGCATCGGTAGAAATTTTAAACATTAATAACAATAGATTTGATTTGGACCAGTTTTGGAAAGATCTTACAAGGCTTACAAACCTGAAAGTGTTAGATATCTCTAACACGGGTATAAACAATCTGCCAGATAACGCATTTAAAGGAAATACAGAATTGAATTCACTAATACTATCCGGTAATAACATATCATCTTTAAAACAAAACACATTCCACGGACCAAGACTCTTTCTTCAAACAATAAACCTAAGAGGTAATGCGTTACAAAGTATTGATAAATGTGTAGTGAACGATTTCCCCTCTATACCAACATTTACACTGTACGGAAATCCCCTTGTCTGTGATTGTGATCTAGTATGGCTATATGATTGGTATAGTTCACAAAACAAACCAGACCACCTAGCACTAGATATGGGAAAGTGTACTTCACCGACAACGCTTGCTAACAAATTTTTTAATCAATTCAGTAGGAACGAAATGTGCTCAGGGACTCAACCTGCAAAAGCCTGCCCAGATGTACCTACTGTGAACGGCTCAAGTTCATCAACAATACCAGTAACAACGTCCGCCACTTCTAACATCTTGACTACACAATCATTGCCGCAATTTGAACTCATTATCAATAACGTAGGTGAAAACTTTATAGAAGTAACATGGACAATCGACGATTTAAATTTCATTTCAGAAATAAAATTTGAGATAATTAGCAATGAATGGAGGACAAAGACAACATATCTAGGGATAGAACAGAAGAGTTTCACATTTTACCAGTTATCTTCGGGGACGTATTACACCATCTGCCTTGTATTGAAATTCCAAAACGAATTTAAAGACGGAAATCCCAACTGTAAGACCATTGTTACACTCAGAAAACAGCCTGACCCTAACAGTGTCATAGGCTGATTAAAACGATACAATGCAATAATTACTCATCCATCTACATAATGTGCATGTTTTTGGGGGTTTTTTTTGTTGTTGTTTTTTGTTACTTCTATCAAATAAATTCTTATAAATACATATATTTTAAAAAGAATAAAATTCCTTTAACCATTTTCAAAACAATCTTACATTTTCTGTTCTACAGTAATGAACTTCACCACTATTGACTTTTGAACGGTCATTTACTAAATCAAGACAATTTGAACAGTATTAAAATGCTTAATTATTCATGCGAAAGTTGAGGCAGGCGTACATCTACACTGGTGTCGACGTCATGGCTTAACGGTAAAGTGATCAAAAGATTTACATTGTGGCTGCTTATTACACGATATACATTAGTGATTTTTTTTTTGTTTGATTAGGTTTTACGTCACACCGACACACTCACATGAAAGAATCCAAAGTTCCTGTCGGAATTCGAACCCACGGCGGTTATACATTGATGATAATATAGAGTAAATGACCACATGTAAAAATTTCTTAGGTACCAATCTGTTCTTACATTACCTCGTATTTGTCGTATAACGTAGGAAGAAGTCACGGATGTTACATACTTTTAATATACAAATACAAACACACATGTGAACGAGTGGAATACCAAAGCCGAACTCCCCACTCTGACATTTGAGAATAGTATATATAATATCAACCTGTCCTAAGGACATTTTATAATGTATATAAATACACACGTTTTAGAGTTACATATTTTAATCATCCTGACATTAGGTCAGTCCGTATGCATCCTGAACTATAATACTCATAAATCATGTCATGTTCCATAGTGCACATTATGAAATAAAAACCTTATTATATGTATATACATGTTGACTTGTCATTCTTTTTGAATATAGCGTGTATGACTCATTAGCCTGTGCAACCAGCTATACGACAATTCCTCCATTACTTATAAAAAAAATATTTAAAAAAAAAGTATTGAACAAGTTATTATTTAATATCAAACATTTCAAACTCGTTCTAACAAATTATAAAAATCTAAAATCTAAAATCAACTTGACATCTGTTTTATCCTTAAGGTAATATCCGGTCAGAGATGTCCGGTCAGAGATGTTATCTAACGACTTTTGTTACTTTATTTTGAAAAAGAAAAACGCCTTAGGAAACAATATTCGGAAATATTCGCTCAATATATTTTCTTGTCACTTTTTAAAAAGTTTTCGGATACTGCAGTCGGGTAAGTACGGAAGAGCATTAGTGCCAGGTGTATGTTTTTTATTAACTCGAAATTTCGAGTTACTAACTCGAAATTTCGACTTACTAACTCGAAATTTCGAGTTACTTATCTCGAAATTTCGAGTTACTAACTCGAAATTTCGACTTACTAACTCGAAATTTCGACTTACTAACTCGAAATTTCGAGTTACTTATCTCGAAATTTCGAGTTACTAACTCGAAATTTCGACTTACTAACTCGAAATTTCGACTTATTAACTCGAAATTTCGAGTTACTAACTCGAAATTTCGAGTTACTTATCTCGAAATTTCGAGTTACTAACTCGAAATTTCGACTTACTAACTCGAAATTTCGACTTACTAACTCGAAATTTCGAGTTAGTAACTCGAAATTTCGACTTACTAACTCGAAATTTCGACTTACATTGCACGACTTTCATTGGTTGCCGGTGAAAGCAAGGATTGAATTCAAGATACTTTCTTTCGTGTGTAGCTGTTGCACATTGACAGAGCACTTTTAACATTTATTTAACAGAACAATTTTATAGGGTCAAATTGTCCACACATACTGAACATATCCTTCGCTTTTTTGTGGAGGGGGGGGGGGGCTTTGTAAAATCACACTTTCCACATTTCTGTGTTAACCGGGTGTTTCTTTTTCTTAAGCACACATACAACCATCATGTGGAGAAACAACAAGTCCAAAACCCACCCTATTGTAAACTGTGCAATATCATGTGTTAAATAAGTTTTAATTGGCGTGTAAACGCCAGTTAGTCTGTCACGTTTCTTTATACTAATAATGTTTTTGTAACATTATTCATTATTTACTAATACTTTGATATTGTGTTGATAAAAGTTGATAAAAGTGATACTTGTTGTTATATATATGTTGGGAATAATTTAAATTTAAAAGCATCCGATTTTACAAGAAATATAGTCAGTCCAACAATTTTGACAAAGGCCTCAGCACGCCCTATTTTGGCCACGCCGCGATACTTTCCTCAGATGTCCCACACGTGAAGTATAGGATCGGTTATTTACAGGGATGAGAAGAATATGATTAGTGAAAAGATATGTTCGAACAGATGAGATACAATACAACGTCTGAAGAACGCCTGAACGTACAAATTAAAGGAAGCCTTGTTTTTTTTAGGTCGGGTGTGTACATGCCATTACTAAGTTTAAGTTAAATTTCAATAGTTTTTGTCCAGGCACTCGTTTCTCCATCTCCATCGTTCAAAGGCACTGCCTACTATATCTTATACCATCTAACTAATAACTTTGGCCATTCTTGTAATGTTAATAACTCGAAATTTCGAGTTACTAAGTCGAAATTTCGAGATAAGTAACTCGAAATTTCGAGTTACTAACCCGAAATTTCGACTTAGTAACTCGAAATTTCGAGTTAGTAAGTCGAAATTTCGAGTTAGTAAGTCGAAATTTCGAGTTACTAAGTCGAAATTTCGAGTTAGTAAGTCGAAATTTCAAGTTAGTAACTCGAAATTTCGAGATAAGTAACTCGAAATTTCGAGTTAGTAAGTCGAAATTTCGAGTTAGTAACTCGAAATTTCGAGTTAGTAACTCGAAATTTCGAGTTAGTAACTCGAAATTTCGAGTTAATAAAAAACATACACCTGGCACTAATGCTCTTCCGTAGGTAAGTTATAATTTACTTCAACAATTTTGTAATGTTTTTAATAAGTAAAAAAAATAATTATTGTTAAATGTAAAGATAATCTTTTCGAAATTTTTAATCAGTTAATATAACTGTTATTCTACAAATAATATTAAAGTGACATAAGGTAAATATTATAGCTTTATAAGTTTTTCAATAAATATTAAATTTCCTTTATTTCATCATAAAAAAAAAGAAAAAAAAGTTAATTTCTAGAGATCAAGAAAACATAAAAAACAAACAAATAAGTTAACAATTTTCAAAGAACAAATTATTTTAAGAATATTAATTAGAAAAACTTTAAGGTATAAAATTTAACAGAATTATATGTATGATAAGAGTAGAAAAGATATTTATATACGAAAAAGTTTAAAAAATATTATAAACAATTGATAATTGATAAAATGTCCAGGTGTTTCATTTCCTGTAAAACGTGTATTGTGCATGCGCATTGAACACTTCCTGTGACAGGTATATTTTTTGTAACAGGTACTTGCTGACATCGGTATGGCTTGGTGGTCGTGACCATAGGTAATCGGCGCGTTGATTGGTCACTACCCCCGCAGCCCCCTCCCCCCCCCACACCCACTCTACAGCCCTCCTACCTCTCAAAACCATGTAAAATACAATATTTTTCATTTGAAACATGTTTTAATATTTGGTTTATGCTTTTAATTCAATAACCTTCATTTCCTACAAAAAATAAAAAATTGATACATACACATGTATATATTTAGTAAAGGTATGCAACTCGCCGCTCAATTTTCAGCACTCATCTTAATATGAACTCCATAACTTCAACATTTTTTCACCAATTTTCAATATTTTGGTACCAAATGGTAGGGAATTGATTACTCTTAAAGGAATTAAAGTTGTCATTACAATCATTTCAAGTTATAAGAAGATATGTAATCTCGAAGTCACCGCAAGTGTAACTCGACAGTGATCTGACCGCTGGGTTTTCTTCAAAATTACCCGACTAAACGGCAGTTTATTCGAAATGAATGCATATTTCATTGTATTGCGCATATAAATATGATCAAATTATATTATTATTTGTAATAACTGTTCAATCAAAACAGCTTATAAAGCTATAACAAACCTTTTTTTCCGTTATGCCAAATTCTCCAATCCAAAATGAAAGTACACATGTATAAACGGAAGCATTCGTATGGAGTATTTTCATTGGTCATATGAAAACCTGAGACCAATGAAAATACTCCGTACAAAAAATGAAGGGGAGAGCACTCTGTAGAACTATTACTTTCATTATAATTTGGAATTTAACATATAGGAAAAAAGGTTTGTTATAGTTTTATAAGATGTTTTGATTGAACAGTTTTTACAAATAATAATATAATTTGATCATATTTATATGCGCTATACAATGAAATATGCATTCATTTCGAATAAACTGCCGTTTAGTCGGGTAATTTTGAAGAAAACCCAGCGGTCAGATCACTGTCGAGTTACACTTGCGGTGACTTCGAGATTACATATCTTCTTATAACTTGAAATGATTGTAATGACAACTTTAATTCCTTTAAGAGTAATCAATTCCCTACCATTTGGTACCAAAATATATTGAAAATTGGTGAAAAAATGTTGAAGTTATGGAGTTCATATTAAGATGAGTGCTGAAAAATTGAGCGGCGAGTTGCATACCTTTACTAAATATATATGTATCAATTTTTTATTTTTTGTAGGAAATTGAAGGTTATTGAATTAAAAGCATAAACCAAATATTAAAACATGTTTCAAATGAAAAAATATCGTATTTTACATGGTTTTGAGAGGTAGGAGGGCTGGAGAGTGGGTGTGGGGGGGGGGGGGAGGGGGGTGCGGGGGTAGTGACCAATCAACGCGCCGATTACCTATGGTCGTGACGTGTCGGGAATTTCAAATCGTTGGTATGTAGCTTTATAAAGTATAATTTTAAATTGACACTCATAATTGTTCATAAATGTTTGATGTTCTTGAAGATTCTTTTAAATTTGTATATATGTATTTGATACGTGTAAACGTAGACTTGATACACAAGTTGATAAAGTTATATTCGAATATTTATTGGCACATCTGTAAACGCTGTTCTTGTTTCGTCGTTGTAAAAAGAATGTCTTGTATTGAACAATACAACAAAGTGATGATAGATCTATAATTCTTCATTTATGTAGCAATGTTTTTGAGTAAAAGATAATTAAATTAACAGTTTGCTGTTGCACGATTCTCGCAAATGTTTATGTGATATTTATTTTGGATATCTCTGTCGCGCACAAATAATTATTTTGATAAGAAGTTGTCATCAGTATTTCTCTGGGTTTTTGTTTTTAAGTTTATATAACACATAGAAAAACACATTCTATTGATAAACGGAAGTTTTCGGCTTCTCTGGTTGAAGACAGGAACAAAAGTTTATTTGATTCCACAATTTTGTTGTTGTTGTTGTTGACGGCTGTGTCAGCATAGTTATATATTTTAAACATCGTAGACGCTTATTTCATATAATTTTACATCGAAGAAGGTGTTTATGGTTATATCTGCATGGTTGTACATCGAAGAAGGTGTTTATGGTTATATCTGCATGGTTT